CCCCCCCATTTCAGATACACCCGGGCTACGGGCACCTTAAACGGGGTCCTGTCTATGCCCCTCAGGGTCAGCTGAGTGTCAGGTACCATATGGTCTGGGGCTACTGCCTCAGGCTGAGCCAGCGTCACCTCTGCCCCTATGTCCCAGAAACCCGTCACCTCCCTTCCATCCACCTCCAGGAGCCCACAGAGGCTGCCCTGCCCTCACCTGGTACACGGAGAAATCTGCCTCCATAAGGTTGGATCTACCAGGGGAGGTGCACTGAACGTCCTTCCCCCCACTCTGATCTGAGGTTTGCCTGCTGGCCCCTGCCTCTAGGGCAGCCTGCCCTTCCCCCAGCTCCAGCCAGTTAACCCTGGAAAGTCTTAGGTTGGGGGACCTGTCCTGGTGCCTGGTGCACTTAAGCCCTCTTGTGGGGCAGACTCTGCCAGCCAATAGAATAGAGGGGGTTTATTGCTTCTCCAGGGTACAGCACAGCACAGACGTGATGTGGCTACAGGAGTCAGGGCCAGGCAACCTCGGACCCCTTGGGTTAGGGGGTCCATCGCCCCCTCAGCACTCAGCTCAGTCTGTTCCCTTCATGTTTCCCAGCCAGTAACTGCCTCGCTCCCAGACCCTGCCCCCCAGCCAGGTGGCCGTCTCCACCTCCCTTCCTTTATCTCTTCACTGCCCCCCTCTCCTCCCTTCCCCCCAGGAAGAGCTTTGCTAACTGCCCAGGCTGGGACTAGGTGTCTGGGCCAATCCACATGTGGGTGAGTCAATAGAATCGCACATCACAGCGCAGGGGAACCCCGGGTTACAGAGCAGACAGCCCCCCCCCCCACTACGTCACATCTCTCCTCCCTCCGAGAGTGGACTAAGCGGGGTCACTCTGCTTGTGACCTGGGGAAGTTTGGGCCCCCTGCCAGGTAAAGCAGCAGCAGTGACATTGGCGCTCCCCTTGGCTTGGGCCTGCCACAGCGCTGCCCTGCAGGAGCTGGCTCCCCCTTGTCCAGCTGCTTGCACGGCTTTGAGGGGGCCAGTGTGGACCCACTCTCTCTGGTCGTACCAGCCCTTTCACTTCCCTTGGGCTCTGCCCAGGGTCTCTCTGGCCGGGCCCATGAGCTCAGCGAGCCTTTCCCGGAAAGCCAGGACATCCTCCATCCCTGACGCTCCATTTGGGGCAGCCTCTCCCTTCCATGACTCTCTCAGCAAGCCCAAGGGGTCCTCCCCTCTTCTGTACTCTGGCTCAGTCAGGGAGAACCTGGCAGACCCTCAGAGTGCCTCCCGGTGTGCAGACAGCAGGGGGGCAGGTACTTGTCCCAGTCCTGCAGATACCAGTGGACGAAGGCCTCCAGCACCTGCTTCAGGGTCCCCTGGAACCTCCTCACCAGCCCGCTGGGCCAAGCGTCATACGCCGGCGCCCAGGTGAGCCGGGCCCCGTGCTTCTCCCACAAGCACCAGAGCAGGGCCGACATGAAGTGGGACCCCTGGTCCGTGAAGACCTCCTTGGGGCACCCCACCCTGCTGAAAAGGGCCAGCAGTGTGTCTGCCACCATGTCTGCCTCGATAGAGGACAGAACCATGGCCTAGGGGCAGTGGGTAGCCAGATCCACTGCTACCAGGATGCATTTGTTCCCCATCTGGGTGACCTGACCGACAGGCCCCACTATCTCTATTGCTGCCTTCCAGAACGGCTCCTCTATAAGGGGTCTCAAAGCAGCTTTCCTCCCATCTGGGGCCTTTCCCACCCTCTGGCAGGAGTCGCAGGACCAGCAGTACCGCTGCACAGCTGCAAATGTCCCTGGCCAATAGTAGTTTCGGAGCAGCTTCAGCCAGGTGCACTGGATACCCCAGTGCCCCGCAAATGGGGCGTAATGGGCCAGATACAGCAGCTTGCAGCAATACTTTTGGGGGACTACCAGCTGCCCCAGACCCCTTCCTTCCCAGGGAGAAGCCATTCCCGATACAGGAATCCCCACTCCCACAGCATCTCCCCAGGGGCTGATCAGCGTGGAGGCCATCCTGGTCCCTCAGCATCTGTAAGGAGGGGTTTGCCTGCACCTCAGCCTGGAATTCCACATCTGGGGCAGGAACAGGGACCTGTTTCCCAGCACTGCCTGGGTCCGGGCCTCTAGCCCTGCTGGGCTCCGTGTCTGCTGGGATGGGCCCTTGAGCCCCCTGCAGGGAGCCCTTCCCCGGGTCAGGGTTGCCAGCCCCTCGCTGGCTCTGGCTGTGGGTGGTGACCAGGGCCCTGTGGGATCCATCTGGCCAGTCCTCTAGGTCATTCCCCATCAGCACCTCCATGGGCAAGTGTTGGTACACCCCCACTTCCTTGGGGCCCTCCTTAGCCCCCCCATTTCAGATACACCCGGGCTACGGGCACCTTAAACGGGGTCCTGTCTATGCCCCTCAGGGTCAGCTGAGTGTCAGGTACCATATGGTCTGGGGCTACTGCCTCAGGCTGAGCCAGCGTCACCTCTGCCCCTATGTCCCAGAAACCCGTCACCTCCCTTCCATCCACCTCCAGGAGCCCACAGAGGCTGCCCTGCCCTCACCTGGTACACGGAGAAATCTGCCTCCATAAGGTTGGATCTACCAGGGGAGGTGCACTGAACGTCCTTCCCCCCACTCTGATCTGAGGTTTGCCTGCTGGCCCCTGCCTCTAGGGCAGCCTGCCCTTCCCCCAGCTCCAGCCAGTTAACCCTGGAAAGTCTTAGGTTGGGGGACCTGTCCTGGTGCCTGGTGCACTTAAGCCCTCTTGTGGCCCCTTTGCCTGCAGTGATGGCAGGTTAGGTCATGTGGGGCCCTTCGGGTCAGCTCCATCCGGGCCCTGGCTGCTCCTTGCCTCTTGGGCTCACCCCGTAGGTGATTTCCTCCGTTGCTCAGCTGAGAACCAGTCCCTGCGCGATTCCCTTTCTCTCCAGAACTCCCGTTCACACCCGGACTGGCTGTCTGTGAACGCATCTGCCAGTCTCCTGGCCTTCTGGGGGTCCTCTGGCCTCCGGTCCTTGAACCACAGCCTCAGGCTGGGCGGGCACGCTTCATAAAACTGTTCCAGCATCATCAGCTTAAGCAGATCCTCTGCGGTCTGGGCTCTAACCCTGCACACCCACTTGCAGCAGTATGCGCCAGGTGGGAGGCCATATCTACATAGATCTCCCTGGGCCCCTTCTGCACCCCCCGGAACTTCTTCCTGTACGTCTCAGGGAACAGGCCAGACTTGTGCAGCAGCGCCTCTTTGACCCATTCGTAGTCACCCGGCTGCAGATTCTCCAGTTGGTTGAACACCCCTGAGCTGCTGCAGCTGGTCCGCTGGGGGGATGTGGTGTAGTTCACAGGCCCACTCAAAGAAGCTAAGGAACCTTTCCATATCCCCATTTTTACATTGGGCCAACACGAGCTTCTCAAAGTGTCTAGCCTCCCCGGGTCCCCGCCACTCACCACAGTCGGGGCCACTTGGCTTCTCCGCTCCGCCATGGCCAGCTCATGCTGCCGCTGCCTCTCTCAGTCCTCTCCCTCCAGTTCCTTCATCCGCAGCTTGATCTCCAGCCACCGCAGCTCTGCCGAGATGGACCCTGCCCTGGATGGAACCGCTGCTGGTGGAGCACGGCCTGGTGGGCGCCACATCTGTCTGGCAGACTCCAGCCCTCCCTCCAGTCTGAGGGCCTGAGACACTCTCAGGAGGTGTCTGGCTGCTCCTCGCTGGGACAGGATCCAGGCCCTTAGACTGGTCATTCTCTTCCGGCTGGGTAATCAGCTGGGCCTTGGTTGCTTTCCGCACAGGCAAGCCCCTCTCTCTGCACAGCCCCACCAGCTCTGCCTTCAAGAGTCGGCCACAGTCGGGGCCACTTGGCTTCTCCGCTCCGCCATGGCCAGCTCATGCTGCCGCTGCCTCTCTCAGTCCTCTCCCTCCAGTTCCTTCATCCGCAGCTTGATCTCCAGCCACCGCAGCTCTGCCGAGATGGACCCTGCCCTGGATGGAACCGCTGCTGGTGGAGCACGGCCTGGTGGGCGCCACATCTGTCTGGCAGACTCCAGCCCTCCCTCCAGGCTGCTGGCCTGAGACACTCTCAGGAGGTGTCTGGCTGCTCCTCGCTGGGACAGGATCCAGGCCCTTAGACTGGTCATTCTCTTCCGGCTGGGTAATCAGCTGGGACTTGGTTGCTTTCCCTATGGCCAGGCTCCTTCCTCTGCACAGCCCCACAATGTCTGCCTTCAGGAGCTGGGCGTAGGCCATCTCCCCGCTGATCCCCAGGTTGTAGACTCACCAGTCAAGTGCTGCAGCGCCCCATGACGCCCAGGAATCGCTTCGCTCTGCTTCCAGCATGCCTGGCTCTTGCAAGCCCCTTCCTTGTGTTGCACCTTGTCCCTTTCTGCTGGAAGTTCAATCCACGGGGTGCAGTGCATCCCACCCCTGACACCACTGTGATGGCGCATGGGGGACCCCCCGATCCTGCACCCCCGTAGCAGCCAGAACAGATTCCGCCAGCCAGTAGAATACAGAGGGTTTATTGCTTCTCCAGGCTACAGCACAGCACAGACGTGATCTGGTTCCAGGGCAGGCCTAGGATACCTCAGCCCCGCTTGAGATCCTCAACCCTCATCTTAGTCTGTTCCCTTCATGCTTCTGAGCCAGAAACTGTCTCGCTCCCAGGCCCTGCCCCCCAGCCAGGTGTTCGTCTCCGCCTCCCTTCCTTTGTCTCTCTCCCGGGGAAGAGTGTTGCTAACTGCCCAGGCTGGGACTAGGTGTCCGGGCCAATCCACATGTGGGTGAGTCAGTGGGAATCGCACATCACAGCGCAGGGGAACCCCGGGTTACAGAGCAGACAGCCCCCCCACTACGTCACAGTCGGTAGTTCTAGAATTGTCCAGTAGGGGATTTCTTGCAGCTTCCCGTGATGCAGCCTGTGGGTGGGATCCAGTCTGACAATTACCAGGTTTCTATGGACACAGTAGAATGAAGTTGAAAATTCAACCTGGGCAGATCCCACATCACTGACCCTGTGTTTGTACCATAGGAGAGAAGAATAAAACATGTGTTAACAACACTGGTAAGAAACAAACTTTTCCTTTGCATTGTTTTGACAATGACTTGCCCTCTGTGCTGAAGTGCAGAGCCAGGAGCAACCCCAACGGGCAAACATGTCACATGAAACCAGTTGAGAAATAAGTGGGTTTCACTATAGATTCTGTTTATTTATCCAGTTTTTGTCAAGACTGTCTTGGAGCAGCTTCAGGTCCCAGTGAATTCTGTGTGCTGTTGATTTCAGAAAGGAAAATGTAGGGAGAATGGAGCACTAAATATTCATCTTCCCTCTTCTGTACTATAAGCTTAACACTCATTCCCTAACCCAGCAACCCTCCTTCTCAGAACGAGGCCCCAGGGGAAATACACGTAGCCACTGAAAAGACCAAACAGCTGTTTTTCCAGACCAGGTCAGAAAAATCTCGATGAAACATTTTCTCATCAGAATTTTGCAATAGCAATGCCTAGGAGTCATGGATCCCAAGATCTCCTGTGCTCCTGACTCCGGGACAGCCGGCTTGGTGCACTGCCCCAGGGCCGTGTGTGAATAATTTCAAAATTTTTGGTTTTCATTTCACTAGGGGGCAATGTCCCATACTCGTGACACTCGCCAATGCCCCTGTCTGTGGGGGTAGGAAACCCTGGCCTCTCACTCCCCCCGGATGCTGGGAAGTGTCTGAGTCACACCAGCCCCAGCCTCCCAGCTCCCCACCTCTCTAGCCACTGGGGCCGTGCCAATCCCTGTGGGTAGGTATACATGGCTCTCCTCCCAGCTACCAGAGAGGGCTGGGACTTGGCTTCTTACCCCTCTGGACCCTGTGGAGGGGAGAGGAGGGCCAGAGGTCACACCAGACCCAGCCTTCAGGAAGGGGGGGGCCGGGGGCCATGCCAGACCTGACCACTGCAGAGGGGAAACAGCAGACAAGGCCAGCTCTCCACCTGGATGCTGGGGAGGGCCCAGACTGCACCAGCCCTGGCCTCTCAGGTTCCCCCCGACCACTGGGGATGGGAGGGTGAGGGCTGGGGATCGTGCCAGCCCGGCCTCTCTGCCCCCTACCTCTCTGGCTGCTGGAGGGGGGGGGGGAGCAGGGGCCATGGCAGTCCCAGTCTCCTCCAAAGCTCCCCCATCCTTCTCCCCAATCACATCCAGCTCCAAGCCTCTTGGTCCCGCCACCCCCCCTCCCTGGTCACAGCCCTGGCCTTTTGGCCCACCCCACCCCTCATGTTGCTTTCCATATGCAGCCAGCCCCAGCCTCCCCCCCCCACCTCTCTGCCATCCATCCCTCTCCCGGTCGCAGTCAGCCCCAACCTCTCAGCCCCCCTATGGCCACTGGAGCAGGGCCAAGGCTGGGCCAGGAGGCGGTAGGGGCAAGGGGAGCAGTTCCTTGCTGCGCTCGGGGCACCAATGCTCAGGGACCCAGCGAGGAACTGCTGCCTTTGGCTGCCTTGAGCCAGGGCCAGGAGCGCTTAGGCCACCTCCTGCCCAGTGCACCAGTCTCAATTCCCCCTCCCCTCTGCGCAAGATTAGCGCGCCTGCACCGGCTTCCTGTGCCGGAAAAAAGCGGCAGCCATGTTTATGCAAATGAAGCGGGGGGGGTTTAAATCCCCACTTCATTTGTAATTGCAATGTGTCTAATTTGCATCCCTTTTACGGAAAAGGAATGCAGTCTAGACACAGCCGAGGGGATCAGACGGTTTGAGTATGTGGAGTAGGGAGGAAGTAGTGGGCGGGCACAGGATTGGGGAAGGGAGGGGCTGGGATGCCAGAGGCAGGCTCTGGCCAGGAGAATTACCTGGGTGACTCCTGGCCAGCAGCCCAGCACGTTTCCAAAAAGGCCTCCTTGCCTGCCCCGCTCCGCCCTGTCCCTACACAGACTGCAGGGCTCTATGTGCTTTGTGAATAACTATAAGCTCCAAGAGCAAGGAGCATGGTGTTCTGTGGCTGCCTATTATTCAAACAGGCAGCTCCCACTGGTCGATTTCAGGCCAGAGATTGGCCAATGGGATTGTGCTGGGGGCGGGACCAGTGTCTGAAGCCTTCCCCCTCCCCCAGGCTCACTGTTTTAAAAGAGAAATGGCTCTGCAGCCACTTTTCTGAGCAGTGTGTGGGCCAGGTGAGGCAAGCGGGGAGCCAGCCTGGGGCACCATGAAGCATCCGCGGCAGGATCCACTGGCTTGTCGTGCTGGATTTGGCCCACGGGCCATATTTTGCTCAGGCCTACTCTGATCAGAGTCTCTGGGGCTGGCTTGGGTGAAATGGGCTCACCAGTGATTCACGTAAGAGAACAAGCAGCCTAGAGAGGGAGGAAGCAGGGGAAATATATCTCCAGAGAGGTGAATGTCCCAGGTAAGTCCCAGGCTGGGGTGCCCTGCGGAGGGAAAATGGATTAACTCTGTCACTTTGGCATAAACAAGTTCCACTAGCTGTTTCTAGCTCTAGGATCTCTGTCCCTGTGGAATTATTTCCTATCCATTGTCTGATCCACTTTTTCTTATTAACAAGCTACCAGAGGAGGCGTCGCCTTCCCCGGCGGGATGAGCCCTTCTCTGTTTGGAGGATCCGTCATCCTGATCCACGCTGCTGCTCTGAAGCTGACGGCCGGTTTCTAAATTTTCCTATTTCTGTTGCTCATTTCTCTCTAGCACAAATCACAGGGATGGGGCTTGCCAGAGCCAAAGCCGCCCTGCTCTCCTGCCAGTGTTTGAAATGGAAACCGATGGTACCTGCTTGGGCAGCTTTGATTGTACGCACCACATTTGTAGATCACAATGAAAGCTCGTGGATCTATACCAACTAGCATTTGTGTTACCATGCTAGAGCCATAAATAGGTGCTTGTTGTATAAATTGTTTCTTATATTCCAGTCAAGTTGGCACTTTTGTACCAGCTTTTGATAACTTTAGTGGAAGTGTTGTGATCTGGCCACAGCAAACGTGTTGTTTTCACATATGTTGGATTGTGCTCCCACCCCAAGATAAGGTGAGAAGTGCGCCCTCTGAGGTGAGCTGAGCCAGGAGCCACCCAGCAGGTTCTTACAGTGGATGTTAGACTTTTAGGGTACGTCTACACTAGCCCTCTAGATCGATCTAGGGAGGCTAATGAGGGTTACCGGAATTGCAAATCAAGCCCGGGATTTAAATATCCCACGCTTGATTTGCATGTTCCTGGCTGGTCGCCATTTTAGAAATTGACTAGCCCAAAGTAACTGCCCACGTCTACATGCAGCAGTGAAACGGGATTCCGATTGAAAGCCCCAACTCGAATTAGCTGGTATTCCTCCTGCAATGAGGTTTACCAGCTAATTCGAATTAGGGGCTTTAAATCGGAATCCTGTTTCACTGCCGCGTGTAGACGCAGGCAGTTACTTTGGGCTAGTCAATTTCTAAACTAGCGACCAGCCGGGAACATACAAATCAAGTGTAGGATATTTAAATCCTGGACTTGATTTGCAATTCTGGTCGCCCTCATTAGCCTCCCTAGATCGATCTAGGGGGCTAGTGTAGACGTACCCTTAGTAGTTGAACTTTCTGTTCCTCATTTCCTTTGAGGCGGGTCTTTTGCCCAAGGTATTTGTGTACGAACCCTGTTTTTCATGGTTTCCCACCTTAATAAAGTTCCTTCCTTCCTTTTACTAAAAGTGTCTTTGCTGCAGTCAGACTCTGGGCTTGTGAGAGGGGAAGCATTGCCTCGTAGGGTTGCTCAGCAGGTTGTGTGTAATTGTCCCAGGTTACTGTGTGGGAGCTTGATCTGTTTTGTTGTTGTTGTTGTTGTTGTTGTGTTGTGGAAAAGGAGGAACCTCTAGATGCCAAACTCTGCTTTTCTTGCTTATTTCCCAAAGCTGAGCAGAGAATGAATTTCATTAGGCGAAAAACTGTAGACAAAAAAAATCGGAATGAACATTGGTAGTTTTTAAACAAGAAAGTAAGAGATAGCCAAAAAGCCATCATTCCACAGTCAAGAAAAAAGATAATTTTGGCATGTGTAGACAATATATAAGGGATGCTAAAGACATCAAGGAAACACCGTCTGTTTGTGGGAGTCAAACCAGTAACTGATGCGGGGAGGGGAAGGGGGAGAGGGAAGGGGATGAATTGAATCTGGCAGGAACATTCATGCCTAGAAAAGGAATACTCATGTCTAGAATAGGAATACCCATGCCTTGAAATGGACTGGACCTTGAAGATATAGATATGCAAGTGATAGGGAATGTTTAATGAGATGCAGTCAGATTCTTTTATTTTGTTTTGTAGTTTGATTAAATTGCTCTTTGCTGAGACCATGTGCCCCCCCCCCCACACACACACACTGTAACTAAAGTGAATCCCAGAGAAGCAATTCTTGGTGCTTTAATCTGTTTTTCTTAGTTGCTCTATAACATCTTGCAACCAAGTCTGCTTTGCCAAGTGTATCTTTTTGTTTTGTTAATAAAATCTCCTTTTTTAAGACTATGATCTGATCCTTGTGTTCTGGAAGATCAGAAGAAGTCTGTGTGCATGCCTAAGATTGAGAGCTCACCTATCAGAGATTGCAGGGTTTTTTTCTTCTTCAAGCTCTCTTGTGGTAACAGAGTTGGGGTACCCCTCTGGAAGAAGTTCCTAAGTGAATCTTCTGGGGTTCAAACAGGGTTTTTTTTTCCACTTGGTTGGTGGCAGAGTACCCAGCATCAGGGAATCTGTGAGCATGAGGAGTTTTTAAGCAGAAGCCTATCCAGGCAAGGCATTTTTAAAGTCTCTTGCGGGTCTCCACATTCCGCACATGAAATGCCAGAGTGGGGAACAGCCCTGACAGGCCCATTATTAAATAGAGAGCATACAATTCATAATGATGCAGTCTATCTGTCTGAGGCTTTGTTCTGAAGCGAAGGCTTTTGGCTAAGCACTTATCAATAGTTGGGGACAAACAGGAAGAGGGTGGGAAAAAACCAAGGGAAAAAGGAAAGGAAACTGGGTTAGTCTAACAAACAAAATGCATTGAAGATGGACAATACAACACTGAAGATACTGATCTCCCGCCATCGTGAAGAGCTTCCTGGAATGTTGTTTGACACTGCAGGGTCATCTGATGATGTCGCCAGGTACGGAATACCAGCTTGGACAATGCTGGTGTTTTTCCACTGGAAACAAATGGTTCATGCCTGATGTAAATACTATTTAAGCCTGGGGAGTAAATCAGTCAGGACTCTTCTCTACTGCCTCCCTGTCTGAGAAAGAAGGTTGTTCAAATCACCTGAAGGGAAAGGCTGTGTCCAGGGGCTGAGTCCAGGCTGAGAGGTCCAGTCTGTAAAGAAAAATAACTCTGCAATTTGCCTAAAACAATATGTATGGTAAGAATATAAGAACGGCCATACTGGAGGTCAGACTAAAGGTCTATCCAGCCCTGTATCCTGTCTGCCGACGGTGGCCAATGCCAGGTGCCCCAGAGGGAGTGAATCAAACAGGTAATAATCAAGCGATCTCTCTCCTGCCATCCCTCTTCACCCTCTGACAAACAGTCTAGGGACACCATTCCTACCCATACTGGCTAATAGCCATTTATGAACTTAACCTCCATGAATTTATCTAGTTCTCTTTTAAACCCTGTTACAGTCCTAGCCTTCACAACCTCCTCAGGCAAGGAGTTCCACAGATTGACTATGCGCTGTGTGAAGAAGAACTTCCTTTTATTTGTTTTAAACCTCCTGCCCGTTAGTTTCATTTGGTGGCCCCTAGTTCTTATATTATGGGAACAAATAAATAACTTTTCCTTATTCACTTTTTCCACGCCACTCATGATTTTATAGACCTCTATCTTATCCCCCCCTTAGCCTCCTCTTTTCCAAGCTGAAAAGTCCCTGTCTCTTTAATCTCTCCTCATATGGGACCTGTTCCAAACCTCTAATCCTTTTCATTGCCCTTCTCTGAACCTTTTCTAATTGCCAGTATATCTTTTTTGAGATGAGGAGACCACATCTGTATGCAGTATTCCAGATGTGGGTGTACCATGCATTTATATAAGGGCAATAAAATATTCTCCATCTTATTCTCTATCCCTTTTTTAATGATTCCTAACATCCTGTTTGCTTTTTTGACTGCCGCTGCACACTGAGTGGACGTCTTCAGAGAACTATCCACGATAACTCCAAGATCTCTTTCCTGATTAGTTGTAGCTAAATTAGCCCCCATCATATTATATATATAGTTGGGATTTTTTTTTTCAATTGTGTAGGATGTTTCCTGAGTGCATTAAGCTTCATTTGTGTGTTTTGTTTTAATTGCTCAGTCATCCGCTTTATGGGTTATCCCTTTAATCCTTCAAAATTTCCTTTTGTAGTCAATGAATTGATTTTTTGCTCATTACTGATCCCAGATTGTACAATTCATGGGGGAGGGGCTCAAAATGCTATGCATATCTCCTCCACATTGATAGAAGAAGCCATTTTTATGAATTTACACTGTGCATCTTTTTCTATACAACACCAGATAATATTATTTTGTGCTTACACATTCCGGTCTGATAGCCAGTAACAGAGAATCTAATTCACTGCCAGCACAGACTCCACCGTTCTCTCTGGACTCATTGGAATGCTAATTCATTTCCATTTTATCCCTTAACCAGCCAAATCCAACTTTCTAATCCAAGTGGTAAAACTTTGTCTAGATGTTGGGTCTACGACAGTATCTCTACTTGGCTTTCTTTCTGGGATGGGGGAGGGGGTATGTGTAACATTCTCCAACGGGGTTTACAGGATACCATGGGGGCAGTTTTGTGGCTACATTTGGCAACAGGAGGCACTGGACATACAAGGTCATATCAACTTTTTGACTCTGTACAGGCCTGATCCAAAGCTCATTGAAATCAGTGGGGTCTTTCCATCAGCTTCAGTAGGATTTAGATCGAGCCCTTACTGCTAAAGAAAATGAATTGTGAAAGTGAAAGAGAACAGAGAAATTTCATAGCTACAGAGGGGGGAGGGAAGAGGAGAGGGGACTGTTTCCTGTGGTGTAAATGTTTGCAGTGTAGGATTTGCAGATATTTTATTTGCAGCCATTTCTTACTTGGGTCAGCAGCCTGCTAGGAGACCACAGCCACTTGGAAGGCAGGTAAAGTAACCTCTTTCTAGTCTTATTCTTCATTAACCTCACTGCACACCCTTGTGTTGCCTTCGCCCTAGGCAGCAGGCTGGATTGTGCTTTGGCTCATGCTCCAAATCTGCTTTGGGGACTAAAAGATTCTGTGACAGGGTGAGGTCACAGACGACCCTTTGGGGATTCTTCCCAGAGTGCTGACAAAGCCACTGACACTCCCCTCTCTACTCTGTGGGGCTTTTCACTACCCTGTCCTGCTGGGCCAGCTCTCTGGTCTCCCCCAGCCAAGACACAGATCAGAGATCACTGCTCTCTGCACTCCAAGGAGCAGTACAGACACCGAAACTCTTCGGCTGTGTCTAGACTGGCAAGTTTTTCCGGAAAATCAGCAGCTTTTCTGGAAAAACTTGCCAACTGTCTATACTGGCTGCTTGAATTTCCACAAAAGCACTGACAATCTCATGTAAGATTGTCAGTGCTTTTCTGGAAATACTATGCTGCTCCCATTCGGGCAAAAGTCTTTTTCCGAAAGACTTTTGCGCAAAAGTGCCAGTGTAGACAGCACAGTACTATTTTCCGCAAAAAAGCCCCGATTGCGAAAATGGCAATCAGAGCTTTTTTGTGGAAAACTGCGTCTAGTTTGGCCACGGACGCTTTTCCTGCCAATCTAGACGTGCTTTTCCGAAAATGCTTTTAACGGAAAAGTTTTCTGTTAAAAGCATTTCCGGACAATCATGCCAGTGTAGACGTAGCCTTCAGGTCCAAGGAAAATGCAGTTTTGGGTCTAGCTTCCTGGGACACTACTCTCCAAATGGGATCAGACCCCCCAATGAATTTTTAGGTAAGCCCTCTCTAGCAATGAAACGAGGATGTGCACACTGATTGCTCCCCCAGGTAACAATTATTTACAGTGGGCTTCATAGTCAATAAAAGTGATTTTATTATGTACATCAGTAGGATTTAAGTGGTTATAAGTGAGAACAGGCAGAGCAAAGTAGAATATGAACTTAAAATAACAGAAAACGCTTCGCTAATCCCAACACTAAAACCTCAGTGCAAACTTATTACAAACTCACCCAAAAACTGTTTCTGTTCCAGCCACACGTCTAAACTGGGGAAAATCCTTCTCCCTGGGGTCTTTGGTTCATCCTCTTGGGAGTGCCACACCAGCCAAACATAAAGAAAAACATAGTTCCCATTTTTTTTATTGATACCACCTTCCCATGGAAAATTACTTGGTCCACTACTGCCAGTTGGGGTGGACATGTGACTTTCTAAGAACAACCACTGCTGAGATTTAAAGCACAAAAGAGGGTGTTTACATATGACTGCCCAATCATTGAGGCATCCAAGCATTGGCAACACCCTTGATGGATTTCATTTGTACGTCTAAAACCATAACCACTCCATACTTCATAGATGTACAGACCTAACTGCCCACACAAGAATGATACATGCACCAAAATAAGATAAACAGACCAGTGGATTAAGACATTAAGATTGGGAGGTTACATGAGGCAATTTGTCCCAAATCTCTGAGTTCTGCATATTTGTGTCCGTGAGTCCATTTCATAAAGCAGGCCTGGGGGGTGGGGTCCATTACATGTTCACCTGGCAAAGCCAGAAAAGTGCATCCCACCAAACAGTGATGCCTGGAGTTTTAGGGCTGTCAGCCGATGGTTAGTGCAGTGAGTGGTGTGTGTGTGTGTGCTATACACCCGAGACTTCAACTGCTGAGACTGGGGTCCCTTGCAGCGGGCAACCTAGAGGAGGTTGACGAGTGCCCCAATAAGTTTGCAGGGAGAGCTTATTATACTTCAGATTTTAGCTGCTAGAATCTGTGATTCCTTCGCAGCGGGCAGCCTGGGGGAGGCTGAGAAGTGCCCCAACGGATCTGCCACCTGGGAGTGACACAAATCCAAACGCCCAAGCTCTCCCTATATCTGTCCCTTAAGACCGGCTGAAGTTCTTTTAAATTGTGCCTGGTTCTGTTACAGCAACTGAAGGAGTCAGGTTAAAGCTTAAACAGTTACAGGTTTATTGAGGAAGCTTATAAATCATATGGTTGCAATGGCTATTGTTCTATTTCTTAACTGCTAGCAAAATATAGATCTTAAAAATGGTTACAAAGAAGATAAAGATAGGAAAAAACAGAAATAATAGTACCAAGTAACAGCTTAACCTTTAAAGAGCTCTTAGTCTGTGTACACTTAAGACAAAGGACCACATCCAGGTACAATTTGTATCCCCTTCTGTGCCTCTCGACTCCAGCGTGTCAGGCCAGGGCCGGTCCCTCAATTCCTAGGAAAGATGAAAATACGAGGTGGGCGTCCCCATAGAACCTCGGGAGGTCAAACACCTAACCCGACCAGCAGGTAGAGAGTAGAATGACACTCAAAAGTGAGTGTGCTGCTGTAATTCTCTTTATACCCTTGGGGTCACGTATTTCTCTTTCTTATCTGTGATGCCAAATAGTGCTGGTCTGCCTTTTGTGAGACCAGTTCTTACAAGGGAGTTGTGAACTTAATTTACACTTGTAAGAGAGAGCTGAGAGGATTAAAATGGAAGTATTGGAGATTCTTTTCTCAGTGGGGGATTCCTCTCCCAGGGACGGCTGTGTGTTCGTATCAACATGGGTGCCAGCCGGGCACTTCTCGCAGCCTCGAGGCCAGCTTATTGCCTTAATCGTTCTCTCCTCATATCTATGTTTTCATCTTCTCAGGATCAGATGAGCCAGCATAGACTATGCTGATTTTATTGCTCCTTCTCTGTCTTGTATGCTTCAGGAACCTCAGAGAGGCAAATAAGATGGATGATATGGGGGGAGGGTCTGTATGGCTACAAGGGCTCTATGATTAATGAAGAGCTTGAAAAATAATCAGTTTTTCTAAATACAACAAACAGACCAAACTACCGACTTCATCATAACACACCCAGGAAGTGACAAGGGCTCAGCTAAGGGTGGGGGGAGAACAGGGGAGGGGAAGCGACATGCCTGTGTATTCTGGTCTCTTTGTTGTACAGTATTTGGAAAATGCAATACATCGTACATGCAAACAAGAGCGAATGAGACAAAGTTCACCACGGGTACAATGCAAATGAGTCAGGGAGGTACTGCGTACTGAAGATAAGGTGCTGGGGTATGAACTAGATGATCCACGCTCTCATCCCTGCTCCGTCATTGGCCATCTCATTAGGCAACTCTGTTTTCTTTCCCTCCCAGCCTTTGTCTATGAGCAAACTCCTCAGGGGAGGGACGGACTCCAGGTGGGGATCCCGGGATGCTTCTGTACCACAGATTACAGTCTGAGAGGGCAGCATTCGGTGCACAGAATTCAAAGCCCAGTGGTTTCCACTGAGTAGATGTTCGATCTCTGGTTTGTTACAAGGTTAGAAAGGCTTCCAGGGTGGGGGGAAGCTACAGGATATTGCAACCCTAGGGAGTGAAAACAAAGAATCCACTTAGTCTGTCCACAGCTACATAGATATTGGCAAGCCCCAGCCCTGCCCCAGCCCCGCCTCTTCTGCCCAGGTCCCACCCGCATGGGATCCAACAAGCCCTCCCCCCAGCAGCACAGTGAGGGAGGAGGGCAGGCGGCCCCAGACGCCCCAGCCCCAGAACATATAGCAGGAGAGTGCTTGGGAGCAGCAGCCCTCCACCCCCACTACACCTACAGTAGCCGTCCTGGGGGCGCGGTGTGGGTGAGGCCAGGCTGACCATTTGGGAAGGCAATGCCTTCCCCTGCCTATGAAACCTGCTGCCCATCACTGCCCCCTAGAGGGCAAACATCCCTCTTTGTTCATGGTGAAGCTCTGTCCTGCACTGATACACCCACCACAATGAACTGTTGCTAAACAGAGGAACCCAGGGTTGTGAGTTCAATCCTTGCGGAGGCCATTTGGGACAAAAATTTGTCAGGGATGGTACTTAGTCCTGCTGTAAAGTGAGGGGACTGGACTCAATGAACTTTCAAGATCCCTTTCACTTCTAGGAGATAGGCAATCTCCATTTATTTTATTTAAATCAGGTGCCCCTCGCAGGCAGAAGGCTGTGCATCCCTCATTGCCACGGTAGCCTCCTAAATCCCAGAATCGGGCCCCCAATGGGATCCCCTGCTCAGCTGCTCCCAAGCCCTATAGGTCTGTAAACTTGTCTAATACCTGAATGTCTGCAGGAAAGAATTCCCTAGGCTGCTGTGTGTGTGTCTGCCAAGCACCATGCAGCCTCATGCCAGGCGGAGGAACAGAAACCTTGGTAGAGCAGGGGAGGAGGGCCAAGGCCAAATCGGTGGGGGAATTAAAATGCTACTTCCATATCCTGCACAGACCCCCCTCAGGTCTGGCTCTAGTGACCAGGGCCCCACGGCTTGTCAGACTGGGCCCTGAGAGAGAAGCTTTCACAAAAAGCGGGGGCTGGGAGGGAATAGAAGGATTTCCCTCCTAACTTCTAGCCCAATGGTTAGTACGTTCCCTGGCACAGGTAACCTCCCTCCCCCAGCCTCAGAGCGGGACATGAGCTAGGACCCATTTCCTCTTGGGTGAGGGGACTGACCCAGCCTCTATAGAACCAGTCCCACGCTCGGCTGCTTGTGTGAAGAAGACTCACTAGCTTGGCAGAGAGAGGCCCTGTGCCTCAGTGGTTCTGGCACCTCCCTTGTGCTGGGAATCCCAGGCTTCCCTCCCCCTCAGGTAATGCCTGTTAAAAGCGAGTTTTCCCCCATGCAGCAGCAGAGCAGGAGAGACGGAGAGAGCACCAGGTGCACTAGGGGCGTATGGAGGTAAAGGGATTTGGTGACTCATGCGCAGGTCAGTTTGCTGGCTGTCTCCAGGTGGGCCATGTGGCTGGGGTTTGGGTCCCCGTCCAAGTGACAGATTTGTTTTTGTCTGCCCCTGAGAGGGCATGTGGCTGGGACCCGTAGGTGTAGAACAGACTTGAGTGGTTAATCGCTCCGTTAGCCGAGGAGCAGAAGGAAGCAGTGAGGCCGGAGGACAAGCTGCCAAGCAAACACGTGACAAGGCCCTTGCAGGAAGCACCGAACTCTCGAGCTGTGTCGCTACTTTAGCCCCATACTCTACAACACGATCCACAGACCTGCCTGGCCGCTGGGTTCTGTGTATTGTGCAGCCTAAGTGCAGAGAAGAGAAAGCACGACGGCGCTGTGAGCCGTAGTCCCATCCCCAGCCACTGTTAGGGAAATGTAACCTCCGGGGGGTGAAAGCAGGATTCCCACATAACTGGTCCCATTCCTCCCACAGTGGTATCCCAGGGTCACCCCCCACCACACCACATGATGGCTGGGCTGCGATCCCTAAAGGAGCTACTCCTGCCTGGGAAACCCCAGTTCCTGAGCGTGGCTCAGCGGATCACAGGGACACAAGCAGGACGATGGTTAGTTTTGCGATGTTCTTTCCCCCAAAATTTCCACTGACTTCCCTGGTGGATTCTCCCACAGCCACACGGGGGGAGTTGAAACTACCATGAGGTCTCTGCTGATCCTCTTGACGTACGTCTGCCTGCAAACCTGGCTGGGAACCGCCCAGGTAAGTGCCTGAGCCTTGCCAGGGAAGCTCTCTGGGTTTTCTTTGCTCAAGGCTGTGTTGGGTGCCAGGTTGCCTTAGACCCACCAACGTGCAGGGCTGGAAGGGACCTCGCGAGGTCGTCTGGTGCAGCCCTCTGGGCTGAGGCAGGGCCTAGCTCACTGAGACCAGCTTTGATGGATTTTGTCTAATCAGGGCCCCTCGTCACCGTCCCCAGTGCCTGGTCGGGGGACGCAGCCTCTCACTGGTCTGGGCGCCAGGGCACGGCTCCATCAGACTCCTTGCTGCTGCCTTCCTGGACATCTTCCTACCACAGCCTGTTCCCTGCCTGTCTCCCCTCAGCCTCTGCAGCCTCAGCCTTCTGTCAGGGCTGGACCCGCAGGGCTTCCCCCGACCCCCCAGCGTGATCCCACAGGAACAGAACAATTTCTGTAAACCAATCTCTGCCCTGCTCAGGCTCCCTCCTCACCCTGCAGGAGCCTTCCTGTTCTCCTCAGGTCTCTGAACGTTTTACTGCCCAGGGAGGGACTGCAGACGTCTCCCCCTCTGCCCTCCGCTCCCCACGCTCCAGTCCAAAGGCCTCTTGGGCTTTCCCATCACTGGGGCCCTATCAAAGTCACAGTCCAGTTAGGTCTGTTTCACAGCCATTGGATTTTAAAGACCAGAAATTTAATTATTTTAGTTTTTAAAATCTGAAATGTCATGGTGTTATAATTGACACAAAAAGGAGTTGGAGGGGTCACAAGGTTGTTGAAGGGGGGAGGGTTGTGGTTGTAGTTGTGGTACCCTTACTTCTGTATTGCTGCTCATTGTGGAGCTGCCTTCAGAGATGGGAAGCTGGAGAGCAGCAGCTGCTGACCAGCAACCCAGCTCAGAGGCAGCAGCACAGAAGTAAGGGTGCATGGTACGATATTGACAGAATTACTGCTGTGCTGCTGGTGGCAGGGTGCTGCCTTCACAGCTGGGTACCTGGTCAACAGCTGCTGCTCTCCAGCCACCAGCTCTGAAGCAGTGCAGAAGTAAGAGTGGCAATACTGCAACTCTCGCTATAAAATCTTGTGACTGTCCCCCCCCTCCCCAGTCGCCAGTATGAGAAATTCTTGTCTCCCACATGAAATCTGTATGGCACATGCTAAAAGCACACAGATGTCTAGATTTCATGGTCTGTGACACATTTTTCATGGCCATGAATTTGGCAGGGCCCTAATCACCAGAGCCTCTGGCTTCTCCTGACCTGAGCCAACCCACCCTTGGGCCCAGGCATCACTGCCCCCCGCCTGCTCCTGCCCAGACCCTCCAGTTCTGGCTCCAGGCCTCTCTCTGCCACTGTCCTCAGAGGGGACATTCCCAGTGACCACATTAGTGACTAACACCCCTCCAGGTGCCACCCAGCAGCCTAATGGGGCAGGTGCAGGAGCCTATTAACCCCTCAGCCCATCATATGGCAACCCCCCTGCCCTAAGCCCCCATGCCCCCAGCCCAGATTCCTGCACCCCCACATCCCCAGCCCCTGCCATAACATTCCTGCATCCCCCACACACCCCAACCCGGTGCTCTGAGCCCATCATACACCCAACCCCCCCTCCCTGAGCCCCCATACAACCAGTGCTGATTCCTACACCCCATATCCCTTGAGTGGGTCTAATATTTATTTAATTGTCCTTCTTTCATATAGGAATTAGATACAGTGCTCCTGACAGCTAATTTGCCTGAATAGCCCAGGAAAGACATGGTGAGTGTGTGAGAGCAGACTGCCCCTCCCACACTTTGCTGTTTGGCTTGTTTTGAGCATGCTCAGTAGCACTGATGAAGGCATTGCCCTCACTCCACCCACCCCCAATTATCGTAGTATTCATAGATCGAGGTCGCCCCCTTCCTGTCAAAATCTGAAATGCCACGGTCAGTGCCAAGTGATGTTTGTGCCCTGACACTTGCTGACACCAAAGTGATCTTCATTTTATTGTAGGAACAAATCATTTAGCGAAAGAGTATTTTACAGTCCCCAGTCCATCCTCACATTAGTCTGCCCTAACAGGCTGCCATCTCCTGGGGTTATTCTAGGCAGTCTTCCTGCAACTTAGCTGTCCCTGTGTCTATCTGCCACAGATCTCCTGATTACCTGCCCTCCCAGCCCTCTTCCTGCCTGGCTCAGAACAGCTCTGTAGATTAGCTCTATATAGGAACCAAAATCTCCAAATTTAAGAGTCTTGCCGTTGTCCACTAACAGCCCTACAGTGTTTGCTGAGAAATGGCTCTTTCTGAGCCCTTCCCTCCAGCTTGGCTCCCCCTCACCCAAGTAGATGCTATTAAACCAAGCCTGTATGCTCAGTTAACACCTCAGTAGCTAGGGCAACAGAAGCATTGATCGGGTGTTACTATTAATCCGTCATATCCACTTCACCCTCTCCCAATAACTGTGGAACCAACATGACGTTTACCACTGAGAAGTCTACTTATATGTTCTATCTCCTTTCCCCACCTTTCATCTGTGCTGTCTCAGTTTAGAGATAAGCCCCTGGGACAATGATGAACACTCAGGGTATGTCTACACTACCCCCCTAGTACGAAGTAGGGGGGTAATGTATGCATACCGAACTTGCTAATGAAGCCCGGGATTTGAATTTCCCGTTCCACGAGGCATACAGATAGTTCGGAATAACTACATAGTTCGAACTATCTAGCCCGTGCCGCGTGTAGCCACGCGGCACGGGGTTCGAACAAGCCGGCTTTTAAAAATGGCGGAGCCAGCTTTATGCTAATGAAGCCCGGGAAATTCAAATCCCGGGCTTCATTAGCAAGTTCGGTATGCGTACATTACCCCCCTAGTTCGAACTAGGGGGGTAGTGTAGACATACCCTCAGCTAGTGAGTGGGCCACATGAGTGGGCCCTCTTCATCGCAGGGGGGCACAAGATGGGCTCCCGGGATAGGACAGTTCTGCCGACTGCGCTTGCACACCTAGAATTTCCAGACTGTGCTGTTTGAACGGTAGCAGCACAGCCCACACATTCTAGGGACACCGGCACAGAGGGAGGGCGCGGCTCTCACAGTCAATGTTGTGCGCAATCAGCACACACCTCACTTCATGTGCCCTGGCTTTACGTGCATGTCACCTTAGTAATACTACTCAGACAGAAACCAGCAGAATCTGGTAACTCTGGCTATGTCAAGGCTGCAGGTTTCTTTCGGATGAAGCTTTTCTGGAAGAGCTCTTCCAAAAAAACCTTTGAAAGAGAGCGTCTACACAGCAAGAACACATCGAAAAAACGATTTACTTTTTTGCAGACAGTATCCACACTGAATGGACGCTGTTTGAGCCACAGCTAGGATCCCAATATGGGTTTATTTCTGGTGTCATTCAAAACCGCAAAATATAGCCATTTTTTTGGAAAATCTCTGCTGATTCTGGTAGACCATTAGTTCCAACCGAGGGAGAAAGGAGCGTCGCTGCTACATAACACATTCACATATGAGGGAGGAGAACAACAGGACAGCAGCAAGAGCAACCTTCTCATTGCTTCAACATGTGTTCTAAGGAATAAAATAGGGTATGTCTACACTACCCCGCTAGTTCGAACTAGCGGGGTAGTGTAGACATACCCATAAGAATTACAGGAGTCAGACTAAGAAGTCCTCCAGCTCGACATTATTTCAAAAGGACGTCTTGCAGTGTCGTTATTTCGGAATAACGTCAGTGTAGACGTGTGGACTCACAACTGTGTAGTCATACACTTAGGTACGTCTAGACTGGCATGATTTTCCACAAATTCTTTTAACGGAAAAGTTTTTCCGTTAAAAGTATTTGCAGAAAAGAGCGTCTAGATTGGCACGGACACTTTTGCGCAAAAGCACTTTTTGCGGAAAAGCGTCCGTGCCAAAATAGAAGCGATTTTGTGCAAGAAAGCCCCAATCGCCATTTTCGCCATCGGAGCTTTTTTGCGCAAAACTCTTTTTAGCTGTCTACACTGGCCCTTTTGTGCAAATACATTTCCGGAAAAGGGCTTTTGCCTGAACGGGAACGTCAAAGCATTTGCGCAAGAAGCACTGATTTCGGACAGTAGAACATCAGTGATTTTGCGCAAAATCAAGCGGCCAGTGTAGACAGCTGGCAAGTTTTTGCGCAAAAGCGCCTGCTTTTGTGGAAAAACTTGCCAGTCTAGACGCAGCCAAGTATGTTTCCATAAAAGAGTTTAAGCACCAGCATTACTAATCATACACAAAGCAATTGTAATTTCCCCAGCAGCAATCTTCAGAAGGCACTCGATCAAATTCTTTTTGTCATGGATGATTTGATCCAGAGCTCAGCAAAGTCAAAAGGAGTCTTTCCATTCATTTTAATGGGCTTTGGACCATGTTTCCATTCAGGCTGAAAACTGAAATCAAGGCACTGATAGGGTATGTCTACTGATAGGGTACGCCTCGTTCCACAGATAGTTCGGAATAGGAAGCCTAATCCGAACTATCTAGTTCGTGCCGCGTGTAGCCGCAGGCACGGAGTCCGCACTAGCGGACATTTAAAAATGGCGGCGCCCTGGGGTGCTGCTGGGTTGCTCCAGTAGCGCGGCTCCTCGGCATCCTGATTCAGCCGCTGCTGAAACTGGGCGGCTTTGCTCCTGTTCCCCTGGTCTTTGCTCAGGTGGACCCCCCCAGCAGACCAGGGGGACCGGGAAAAGCTTTTCTCGCCCCGGAGGACACAGGTGGCAACCCGCCGCCCGTGAGCTCCGGGGCGAGAAAAGCCCCATTCGTAAATGCGGATCCGACATAAGTCGGATCTGCGTAAGTCGGGGACTGCCTGTATACAGGGCTGAGCACATTGGGACCTCGCTCCAGAGGTGTGACCTCGTGGTGCTATTGTAACACCATTGCTAATGTGACTATGTTTCCTTTATTATCCCACGTAAAATGCCAGGTGGTGCTGGACGTGGCAGCTAATGCTTTTGATGACCAATATATTGGATGCGCTAATGAAATGGATAAAGAAGCACCTGCACTGCTAGAGGAAGAAAAGTCCAGGCACATTCTACTGAGAAAAGTGTGGCACAAATCAAGAACAAAATGGGCAAGTGTGAAAACAAAGCTCTCTCTGCCTACTGCCTTTAAGGATGAGTACGGAAGAGCCATAGTGGCCTATACTGATAAATACTTTTACAGTGATTTTAATGGGGCAGTGAAGAGGGCTGGGACATCTCAAGAGGATTACATGAAGTGTTTCCAGTTCAAAGCCTTTCATTACTATTTGACAAGAGCCTTACAGCTGTTACGCGGGAGGTGTGAGGTGACGTATAACACAACGGTGTACCGGGGCACTAAATCTCAGCACACGGGATCAGGTCTCATCAGATTTGGATATTTTGCCTCTTCATCTATGAAGAGGAAAAAAGCAGAGGAATTTGGCACAGGCACATTGTTCACCATCCGCACGTGCTTCGGTGTCAAGATAGCGGCCTTCTCACACTTTCCAGAACAAGAAGAAGTATTAATCCCAGTCCATGAGAAGTTCCGTGTGACCCCAGATGGGAGTAACAGATTTGTCCTCTGGAGCACAAACCGTACCTGCAGCCACTTTAACTGCGCGTACCTGGGTGGTGAGTACTGAACAGGAGACATGGGGGTGGGCTGTTTGCTGTGGGGAATGTGAAACCCCCAGGGAGAGGGGGTGCAGGGAGAGTTCACGAGAGGGACGCTGACATGGGGATTTGCCCCCAGGACTGGGGGAGATGGTCTGTCATGACTCTTACAGCCAGCAAGGGCTTAGGCTGTGATGGGCAGACACTGGTCCCCAAGCGCTCCCTGAGAACAGAGAAAGTGCCTGGACACCATGGTGAGGGGCTCACTAGAGAAACAGGGGAAGGCCCCAAACTGCTGTGAGTTTTACGCACACACACGCCCCCCTACAGGGCCTGGCAGAGCGGCTGTTTCTCCTCAGACAGGGCCCAGCCAAGCCATAGGCTGGAGGCAGGGAGCAGGCAGGTGGCCTAGTGTGCAGCTGACACGTTATTTAGGGACATCAGGGCTAGGGACAGTGGTGAGGAACTTCAGAGCAATGTGACCAAGTTGGGTGAATGGGCAACACCACGTCAGGTGAAATTCACTGACAGGCAATCAAGGTGCCGCCCGTTGGAAGAAACAGCATCACTGGGGTGTTAATGAACTGGGCCAGCTCTGACAAAGACAAGGCTGTCATTGTGGGGAGCACAATATTACAGCACTATTATAGGGACCCATGGGGGGGAGCTTTCACAGGGATACTAGGTATGGCTCGTATTACCCTAACTACAATATTTATGGGGGGATGGGGTGCAGGGTGGGAAAACAGTTCAGAGAGAAGGGAAATCAGAGATTTGGAAAAAATCAGAGGTTTGGAGAGATTCTATAGGAGAGAATGGGATGGTTTAGTTAAGAGAAAATATATTTGAGTATCTATAAATGAGACAGGGAATATGGCAGTGTCTAAATTAACACTTTATCATAAAACATGAAGGTAACATTTTAACTAGTGAAAAGGATTATTTAATATACAGTTAACTTTTGGAACTCATTGCTACAAGATTTCCATTATGCCAAGAGCTCAGCAGAATTTTTAAAATAGCTGTTTATATGGACAGTGAGAGTCTCCACTGTTGTTACATAGGATGAAGAATTGTTTTTGAAGAAATTTGCTACATATGTAGGTAATTGCACTCTGCAGTTTTTTGCAGCTTCTTAGTAAGTTGGGCCTCACCTCATTCAGGAATAGGACACCTGGTTAGACGGAGCCTGTTTGGGGGTGCTGTCTGTCAATTACTATGTTACTTTGGAAACAGTAGAATAAAATTACGTTTCATTGATCCTCTCTGTTTGTACTGTAGGAAAAAAGAACCAACAATGTCTCGACAACTCCGGTAAGAAAGAAACATTTTATTTTCATTGTTTGACAATGAGCTGCACTCTGTAGTGATGTACAGAGCCGACAGCAACTTCAGCATGCTAACAAGTCATATGCAAGGAATAAACTGGAGAAATAAGTGGGTCTAACAGTAGATTGTATCAATTTACCCACGTTCTCATCAGGGCCAGATTAAGCTCTTCTTAAACTGTAGGCCGGGGTGGGCAAAAGGGCCTTTGCGGGATCCTTGCTGGATCCAGCCCACCAAGTGGGCTACCTAGATCAGAGTCTTCAGATATCTACAACATTCCAAAAAAATCTGTTTAAAAAATCTTTTTCTTTCCGTACCATAAGCCATTAACACCTATGTAAGCTTTCTTTGAAATGTAATCATGCAGACATCATGAGCTAGGCCTAGCCACATCGTCCTTATCTGCAAAACCAACCTAACTGCTTTATAATAGAAATACAAGTGAAGTCAGATCCTGCATTAAGATCTTCTAATGCAGAATCTCTCCACCCTCTTTATCTGCTCTGGATCTGTCTCCCTCCAAACAAACTAATTTTTAGCTCAGACTGACATCTCCAGGCAGATTGCCTCCTGATAACAAACTCAACCTGGCCAAAAGGAAAGCTTTTTATCTTTCCCTCCTTATGCTTGGTGGAAAATGTTTTGGTGTAGAGCTGCTGACACTGTTTTGTGTTTGGTCTATAAGTCTAATTGTGGGAGCGACATTATTCTTTCTCCCATTACATTTTCTTGGCATATTTAAGTGGGATTGCCAGGTGTCCAGTTTTGAACCAGACAGTCCAGTATTTGAGCTTTCAGTTCGGAAAACAAATTGAGAAAATATAAATGAGAAAATGCAAGTGTCCGGTATTTTCTAAATAAGATGTAATGTAGATTGTGATGTAATATCACATGTGTCTGGTATTTTTGTTGAAACCATCTAGTAACACTATATTTAAGATCTTGTAATTATGTCACCAATCAGTTGGTAATTAATACCAACCCCTCCTCACTCCAGTCTCAACAAGACAAGGGAAGATAGATTTGACTAAGCTCCCTCTGATGCATTAATGAGACAATGACACTTCCATAGCAGCACCTCCATTTCCCCTATAGGCACATGGCCCCATGCCCCAGCATATCAGCATGCCCTGCCCTGACCATGGAGCCTGCTTCCCCCTTACCCTAGCCCAGGAGAGTCCTATATCTCTCCCTTGCACCACTAGTTGCAACCCAGACAGGAGTGAATCAGGATACCCAACAAATTCCCTTTATCTGAGCATACAGATGTCAGCATGCACCCACTGCCTTTCTCATCCACCTACCCCATTCAGTCTGCTCCCCGTCTCCTCCTCTGCCAGCCCAGCAGGCTGGAAAGTGCTGAGTTTCTCACTTAAAATTGCGGCCAAACCCAGCTGCGGTGATCACAAATAGCAGGCAAGTTGGTGACAAGTTTTCCAAATGTCAACATTGCTTTCAGAATGTACCTCTCCGTCTTGGGATCAAACTGTGAAGAGGAGTGCTCTTTTTCAAAGTTATAATGTATAAAGAGTGGTCTGAGGTCTGCCGTGGGACAGAGACGACTCTCTTCCCTGGAGCGGCTGTCAATTGAGAGCGCACTTTCGAGAAAAATGACATTTGATCATGAAATCTGTGATTTTGCTAACAATCAAACTGTGAAGAGGAGTGCTCTTTTTCAAAGTTATAATGTATAAAGAGTGGTCTGAGGTCTGCCGTGGGACAGAGACGACTCTCTTCCCTGGAGCGGCTGTCAATTGAGAGCGCACTTTCGAGAAAAATGACATTTGATCATGAAATCTGTGATTTTGCTAACAAAAGGAGCCACAAAGTCAATATTGAATTGTATGTTGTATCTGTATGTTTGTCGACTAAGGAGTTAATACGCCTGCATTTCATTCATCTTCAACATGTGCACATGTATTCTAATAAAAAAATAGTAAATTATGAAGTGTGATTTAGCAGGTTTCTTTTCTTATTTTTGAGTCAATTATGATTTTTTAAGCCCTACATTTTTCATAGGTCCTAGGCACTGTGGGTAATCTAATGGATAATCTGGCCTTGCACTGAGGGTACGAAAGTCACAGACTCCATGATTTCCAGAATCACCACAGGGAGACCTGAAGCTTCGTATGTCTGTGAGTGCAGGGGACCCCAGCAACTCCAGTCACTGCAGGCTGCAGGGGCCACCACAGCTCTCAGTCACCATAGACAGTGGGGGATGCCCACAGCTCTAGCTAGTGGGTGCAGCAGGGGAACCTGGAGCTCTCAGTCACTGTGGGTGTGGAGGCCGCGGCAGTGCCCAGGTACCACAAGTGGCAGGGGGCCCCTGCGGCTCCCAGCCAGCAGCCCTGCAGCTTGGAGCTGCTGCAGGCAGTGCTGTACCCAACCTCCCCTCTCACAGCAGGCCTTGGACCCATTCTGTCATGGTTATATTTAGCAAAAATCAGAGGCAGGCAGGGATTGACATCCTCTCTCTATGGGAGGCTGGGAGTGCAGGGCCTGGCATGTGCACAAGGGAAGCAGAGCTGCCCTTTCCCTCCACCCCCTCCCCTGCAAGCTCCTGGCCTGGCCAGCATCTTACCATGCCTGCTTGTCCCCAGGCCATGTGCGTTGCGATGCTCCCTGGGATGTCTGGGCACCTGCTGCAAAGTGCCTGTTTTACAGGCCAAACGTGGCCTTACTCAAAACACAGCACCATTGTCTGAATGAGACCTTCTGTGTTGGCTCAGAGATTAGACCTAGGCTTCGTACAAAGTATCTCCTGTGACGACTGCCCTTCTTACTTTTCTGTACCACGGGACCAGCTGCGAGCTGGGTGCATCCCACACCGACCGCGGCGTCTGCCCGCCTGCCCGGGATCCGCAGGTGAAACGAACCCGGGATGAGCTCATGAGGGAGCAAATGGTTTGCCTGCAGGCCCTCCTGCAGGAAGTCGAGGCAGAGCGCCTGGAGCCGGTCGCCAAGAGAAGGAGCAGTGGGCTGACCTGGAGGAGCAGGAGGCCATGTGGAGCAGCGAGCTCCACCCACACTGCAGAGATGGAGCATGTGGCGAAGTGCATGTGCCACCAGCCACATCCCCACCTGCCCTCTGGCTTCCATTGCCTCAGTCGCCTGGGGCCACTGGGGCCCCAGAACATGGGGGGAGCGACCTCTAGGGCAGTCGGAGTCTCCAGGTCACCCGGAAGCAGGCGCCAGTCCCAGGTCCATTCCTGAGTCCGTCCCCCCTTCCAATTCCCAGTCTTTTCCCTCCCTCATTGTTTATCCCCTGAATAAACACTCCTATTGGTTGAAAAGTGGTGTCTTTGTTGCCTGAACTGCAGGCAAGGGGAGGGAAGAGGGAGAATGCAGGGGCCCCATGCAGGGAGCCCTGGGGCAGAATCTCAGAACTGGTCTTGCCTGAAACTGTCTTTGAAGGCATCTCTGATTTGCACTGTCCCTTGCAGTGCTCTCCTTTTGGCACTGGTGTCCAGTTGCTCAAATCCCTGGCCAGGCTTGGCCTCAGCCGCTCTCCCTCCCCCCACCGCAGAAGAGTCTTCCCCTTATTCTCACACAGGTTGCGGAGCACACGAAGGGGATGTTAAGAACGGCCAGACTGGGTCAGACCAAAGGTCCGTCCAGCCTAGTGTTCTGTCTGCTGACAGTGGTGAATGCCAGGTGCCCCAGAGGGAGTGAATCAAACAGGCAATGATTAAGCGACCTCTCTCCTGCCATCCCGCTCCACCCTCTGACAAACAGAGGCTAGGGCCACCATACCTCACCCATCCTAGCTAATAGCCATCCATGGACTTAACCTCCAAGAATATGTCTAGTTTTCTTTTAAACCCTGTTATTGTCCTAGACTTCACAACCTCCTCAGGCAAGGAGTTCCACAGGTTGCACTCGGTGAGGTTCAGACAGCTGAGGAGACTCCTGAACCTCCCCTTTAAACACCCAAATGCACACTCTGCCACCATCTGGGACCTGCCCAGCCTGGTGTTGAACTGCCCCTTGCTGGGGTGGGGTCCAGGCTGCACGTGTAGGGCTTCATGAGCCAGGGGAGCAAAGGGGAGCTGCATCACCCAGGATCACGATGGGCATGTCCACCTCCCCGACTGTGATGGAGCAGTCTGGGCAAAACGCGCCGGCATGCATCTTTCGTAAGAGGCAGGGGTTCCGGAAGATGCAGGCATGGTGCGCCTTTCCCGGCCATCCGATGCTGATGTCGGTGAAGCATTCCTTGTGATCCATGAGCCCCTGCAATGACCTGGAGAAGTACCCCTTTCAGTAGATGTACTCAAGCCCCATCTCCCTATTGTTTATCTGTATTGCATCTGTATTAGCTCTGTTTTTATTGTTTCTGTCTGCTGTACAATTAATTTTCTGGGTGTAAACCAATGAAGGTGGTGGGATATAATTGGTTAGATGATCCTGTGACAATATGTTAGGATGGGTTAGTCAAATTTCAGTAGCATGTATGGTTAAGGTATAGCTGAAAATATTATTATACACTTTAGGGACAAACAAGATGGGGTGGGAAAAACCAAAGGAGAAAGGAAAGGACACTGGAGTCTGGCTGGAAGTGAACCCCAATAACCATCGAATTGTTGCATCTCTGGACTGCGGGTGTTGCTGTTCTCTGTTCATGTGGGAAGGAACTGGGAAGTGGGAAGGTGAAGGGATCAGCCCTCTAACATCTTGGTGCCATGTCGCAGATGCATCACATTGGACAGGTGAGTGGCAGCCTATAAGTCCCCCCCAATAATCTGTGCAGCTGTTTGGAGGGGACTGTGGCAGACTCTTGTGATGGTGGTTGTGGGTTCTGGCAGGCTGGGTAATGGATTTTATAAATAAATGGCTAAACAAGAACCAGGGCCCATCCCAGGGTCAGGAGTCAATCCGGGATGAGACTGAGAAGGAGATGGGGCAGGTTTTGGAGATCCCATGGGGAGAGTCGCAGTCCTAGATGAATTGTATCCATGTAAGCATGGGAGTCATGGACTTGAGGCACCTAAACCAACTGCCTCATCTGTGGAACTGAAGGAAACACCTCACCCCCACTCCCATCCCACCCTGAGAATACTCTGTACCCACCACTGCCAGTGGAGGTTGACACTCGGTGATCCACAGTTATACCCTCTGTGTGAGAGACTACCAGGGAGGTATGAACAGTGGCCCTGGTTGCAGGGGGGATCAAGGTCACAACTGCCTCCTTCCTCTAAACTCCCTCTGAGACCTCCCTTTCCCTCTTGTGTCCTAATCTCTTACCCCAAGCTCCCTTCTGCACCGAGACCCCACTTTCCCTCTTGTACCCCAATCCCTTACCCCAAAGTCCCTTCTGCACCCAGCCTCCATCCCAGTCCCTCCATTAATATCATGGAAGAGTGAGGCCTTTGACAACTTTCCAAAAATGGTTGCCCACCCCTGCTATACACCATGGCTACATCTAGACTGGCCAGATTTTGCTTGTGCAAAATCTTGTCAGCTGTCTAAACTGGCCGCAAGTTCTTGTGCTAGAACACTGACGATCTCATGCAAGATCATTAGTGTCCTTGGGCAAGAACTGTGACGCTACCGCTCAGGGATAAGCGCCTCTTGCGCAAGATTTCTTGCGCAAGAGGCCAGTGTAGACAGCTCTTGCGCAAGAAAGCCCCAATGTGCAAAATGGCAATCGGGGATTTCTTGCGCAAGAGAGCATCTATACTGGCACGGGATGCTCTTGCGCAAAAGCACAGGTTTTGTGCAAAAGCACCTGCCAGTATAGATGCTCTCTTGCGCAAATGCTTTTAACAGAAAAACTTTTCCATTAAAAGCATTTGCTCAAAATCACGTCAGTCTAGATGCAGCCAGTTTTAAATGGGGAAATGGGATAAGCCAAATATAGGCTGTCTTTGGCACTGATTCCAGGCAAAATAGTTCAGCGGTGGTGGGAGAAAAATGGAACTATGAAATGAAAAGGCTCTATCAGGGTGACTAAGCACTGGAATAAGTTGCCTAGGGAGAATGTTGAATCTCCATCATGTGGAAACCATTTCATATTTAGCTAGAAGCCATCTTCTATAACAGAAACCATTTCAGCTTTTCTCTTTAGCACGTAGACCAGAGTGAACTTTCTGTCACCCCCTGAGAGAGGCCTACAGGATGGGCTATTGGAATGTGTTAATTGGGCTGGTTGAGACAGGAGATGCACTCCCTCCTACCTGTCCACCATCTTGCTGATAAGACTTTGTTTTTCCAAGTTTAATTGATGATTTCTGTAATTGGATGCCCTGATGTCAGACTGTTTGGCTAAGGGTATAAAGATACTACGATTGATTGTATTAGCCAGCCTCACTGGGCCCGGCTCTGCTGGGGTCACATTTGGCTCACTCTTGCCTTATTGATCAATAAAGCTGGTTGTTAGCTGCCAAAACAGAGGGAAGCCTTTGCTTCAACAATCACTGGAGATATTTAAGAGCAGGGTAGACAGACACCTGTCAGGGCTGGGCTAGCTCACTGGCTCAAAACCTTTCCAGACAACTGAACCCTGATTTGTTTTCCTTGCCCCAAGTTTCACCTCACTTAAAATGACTGGCTTACAAAAGCAGATAGTGAAAGTGTCTCCCTGCGCTCTTACTGAAAGGGCTCGGCTTTCCCACTGTGCCGTGTAATGATAACATAAAGCATTTGCAAGGTAAATATTGGACGTGCATTGCGGTTTGATATTTGAGCCTAGTCCGGAGAGGGAATCATTCGGTGTGTAAGCTGCTGTTGCCGTAGCTCTGGCTTGGGTCAGGGGCCTGCCAGGGAGTCACAGCCAATTGCGAATTTAGGGATAGTCACGGCTTTCAGTTCTTACCCATTAACTTCATTACAGACACGCGTGTCATGTTCATCCCCAAACAGCTGTGGTTTGACCATCTGGTCTCAACCTGGCTCCTGGTCCCCCTATGAGTCTATGAGCCCTTTCAGGGGGGGCATAAGCCCCTTTGGGGGGGGCAGCAGGACCCTGTGGCTGAAACCTAGAGCCAGAACCCTGGCGCCCCCCTCTCCCGCCATGGGGCTGAAACCCTGAGCACTGGCTCCCCCTCCCCTCCTATACACTGCAATGCCAGAGTGGGGCAATCCAGGGATCAGCTTCACACACCCACTTCCTCCTTTCCCCGCCCCCAGACACGACTCTCTGGCCAGGCTGGGGGCAGGAATCCAGAGTCAGGCAGTGGGGCAAGAGCTGCTCGGGCTGGGATCATGGAGCAGACACCAGCAGTGTTCCCCTGTCTACAGCTGGTGCCCAGGTTGTGGTTGCTTTTCAGGGCCTCTCTGTGGCTGATAGAGTCCTTGGGGAGAAGTGACCACAGGGGAGTCCTCTTGGTGCACAGCCCCTATCCACCCTCTTGTTCACACACGGCCTCAAGCTATGTCCTCTCTGAGCCATAAGCTACCATCTTCCTGAGCCCTGAGCCACACCCTGCCTGCACACATGGCCCCTGGCTACACCCCTGCCAACACCCCAGAATGAACAGCCTGCTGTTGCCAGATATCAATATAACCCACAAATTTAATACTAACTCACACAACCTGAACCCCACATGAACTAGGCATACTGGAGCAGTTGACAAAGGCTTCCCTTGTCGACCACGGCGCGTCTAGACTGCCCCGCTGTGCCGATCAGCTGATCGTCGTCACAGCGCGGCACCCATTTTGATGTAAATGAAGTGGCGATTATTTAAATCGCCGCTTCATTTTGCTATGTCTAGTAAATTCATCTACATGGCTCTGTCGAAGCCATGTAGTCTAGACATACCCTCAACACACCACAGTCTGGGACAATGCTTGTTATGTGCTCTCTGTGGCTCCGTCTACACTGGCATGATTTTCCGGAAATGCTTTTAACGGAAAAGTTTTCCGTTAAAAGCATTTTCGGAAAAATCTCATCTAGATTGGCAGGATGCTTTTCCGCAAAAGCACTTTTTGCGGAAAAGCGTCCGTGGCCAATCTAGACACAGTTTTCCGCAAAAAAGCCCCGATTGACATTTTCGCAAAAGTCCCTTTTGCGCAAAAGTCTTTCGGAAAAAGACTTTTGCCCGAACGGGAGCAGCATAGTATTTCCGGAAAAGCAATGATGATTTTACATGAGATCATCAGTGCTTTTCCGGAAATTCAAGCGGCCAGTGTAGTCAGCTGGCAAGTTTTTCCGCAAAATCAAATGATTTTGCTGAAAAACTTGCCAGTCTAGACACAGCCTGTATGTTTTGAACTTGTGCAACCAAGAGTTATAATGTTTCATAACCTAAGCTTGACCTCGGATGTGCAGCACCTTTTCCCAAAACCATTTTACAGTGAAAGGGCAGCAGTTCCTCCAGAATCGATTTATTTATTTTGGATTATGTTTAAAAGGGAAGGCTGCCCTTAAAAAACCCCAACCCATGACCCACTGAGACTGTGGCTGCGTGCCAGAATGTTTCCATTTTCTGTTCTGCTTCTACTCTGGAAAATGCACATTAATGGACACACGTTGTCTGCTGCACACCTTATCAGCTCTTCTGGTATTTGCCTGGGACCGAAGTCAGACTAACCAGCATGTAGTTCCCCAGTCACCCCAATACCCCTTTAGAATGTGGGCACAACAATAGCACATGTCCAATCCTCTGGAATTTCCTTCTGGGATAGGCCGAACCTCACATCCAAGGTACCGCCTGATGTGCTAGGGTCCCCCTGGTTCTGCCTGTTCCACTAGCCTGAGTTTCCTTGTCTTGTCGTACCTAATTCCACTCACTTTCCTCAGCTTTGGGAAACAAGCAACAAGAGCCGGTTCAATATCTAGGGGTTCCTCCTTTCAACAACACAACAATAAACAGATCAAGCCCCCACCCAGTGATCCGGGACCATTACATACCACCTGCTGGGCAACCCTAGGAGGCAACGCTTCCCTTCTCACAAGCACAGAGGCTAAGTGTAGCAAAGAAACCTTTAATAAAAGGAAGGAAGGAACATTGCATTAAGGTGGGAGACCATGACAAACAGGGTTCATAACTTACGCCCTGGGCAACAGACCCACCCCAAGGAAGTTGGGAACAGAAAGTTCAACTATTAAAAGTCTAACGTCCGCTGTGAGAGCCTGCTGGGTGACTCCTGGCTCAGCTCACATCAGCGTGCACACCTTATCTTAAGGGGGAGGGAGGGAGAGCACAATCCATCATGTGTGAAAACAATATGTTTGATCACAGAAGTCATCAAAAGCTGGTACAAAAGTGCCAGCTTGACTGGAATATAAGCAATGATTTATACAACAAGCACCTATTTATAGCTCTAGCATTGTAATACAAATTATATTTGGAATAGAACCATCATTGTGATCTACTAATGCAGAGTAAATAATCAAAGCTGCCAAAGCAGGTACCAGCAACACTCCATCGCTTTCCCTTTCAAACACTGGCAGGAGAGCAGGACTGGTTTGGCTCTGGCAAGCCCCATCCCTGTGATTTGTGTGAGAAAGAAAAAATGAGCAACAGAAAGAGGAAAATTTAGAAACCATCCGTCAGCTTCAGAACAGCAGCGTGGATCAGGATGACGGATCCTCCAAACAGTGAAGGGCTCATCCCTCCGGGGAATACGACACCTCCTCTGGTAGCTTGTTAATAAGAAAAGATGGATCAGACAATAGATAGGAAATAATTCCACGGGGACAGAGATCCTACATCTGGAAACAGCTAGTGGAACTTGTTTATGCCAGAGGGACAACGTTAATCCATTTCCCCTCCACAGGATACTCCAGCCTGGAATATACCAGAGACATTCACCTCACTGGTGATATATTTCCCCTGCTTCTTCCCTCCGCAGCCTGCTTGTTCTCCTGAAAGAGTCATTGGTGACACATTGTTGGCTTAGGGCAGGTGTGGCCAATCCATGGCTCACAAGCCTCATGTGGCTCTTCTCCTCCCTTGTGCTCACTGGGGCAGGGGAGCCGTCCAGATCCAAAATGGCAGATCCAAAAAGGTGGCCGCAGACAGGAGCCTGCTGAAGCCAAAAAGCCTTCTTAAAGTCTGGGCTTTTGGTTTTTTTTTCTGCTCTATCATTTTTTTGCTCTGGCTCGTCGCGCTGGATCCAGCTGGATCTTGGCTCTTTGGTCGGAAAGGGTTGGGGATATTTGTTCAGCTTATCATAGAATCATAGAACCATAGAGCTGGAAGAGACCTCAGAAGGCCATCAAGTCCAGCCCCCTGCTCTAGGCAGGACCAATCCCAACTAAATCAACCCAGCCAGGGCTTTGTCAATCTGAGACTTAAAAATCTCTAGGGATGGAGACTCCACCACCTCCTCAGGGAACCCATCCCAGGGCTTCACCTCCCTCCTCGTGAAATAATTTTTCCTAATATCCAACCTGGACCTCTTCCACCACTACTTGAGACCATTGTTCAGCTTATAGTTCAGAATTCTGAAGATGAATCTTTTAGTGCTCTAAGGGATCATTCTCCCTACATTTTCTTTTCTGAAATCAACAGCACACAGAATTCACTGAGACCTGAAGATGCTCAGAGACTAGTCATGAGAAAAACTGGATAAATAAACAGAATCCATAGTTAAACCCACTTATTTCTCAACTGGTTTCATGTGACATGTTTGCCCATTGGGGCTGCTCTTGGCTCTGCACTTCAATAGAGAGTGCAAGGTATTGTGAAAATATAAAGAAAACGTTTCTTTCTTACCAGAGTTGTAAACACACGTTTGGTCCTTGTTTCCTATGGTACAAACAGAGATTCAATGAAATGTGATCTGCTCTGGTAAAATTTTTAACTCTATTCTACTTTTTCCAAAGAAACATGTTAATTGTCAGACTGGGTCTACCAACAGACTGCATCTAGCCAGGAATCTTGCTTGTCCGTGACTAATGGCAGGCCTAACAGCATTGTGGGAAGAAAAAAGAAATCCCCTAGTGGACAATTGTGGAATTATCGACACACAGGAGAAGTTTCTTTCCCAACACAGGCAGTTAATAACTGATATATGTCCTCAGGCCGAAGGGATTATAGTCACAAAAACAATGGTTTTATCCTCCGTAACATGTCTGTGCTAATTCTTATCTTTATTCTATTGTGCTCTTCAACTTATGGAAATCTTGTGTCAATGAGTTCCTTCAGTTTACCTGGAATTATGTAACAGGATATTCCATTTTACTTGTTAAAATATGTTGTCTTCAGCTTATTCTGGTTTTATGAGAATGGGAAAATGGCGCTCTCTGATTTGCCACTGTCTCATTTATTATTTTGTGTGTTTCCATCATGTATCTTGTATGGGCGTCCCTTCTGCTAATTAAACCATTTCAGGCTAACATGTAGAAATATCTCCACACTGCATCATTTTCAACACTTTTAGAGCTAGTGTAATCAGATCCTAATCTTGTATCCCAGGGAAGGCTGCCCCATGGGTTCCTATAATGGTGCTGTGATATTTTCACATAATTCTCCATCCCATTGCTCCTTAGGCTGGCTAATATGTTGTTTGTTCACAAGCCTAGCAGCACACTGAGCAGAGATTTTCACTAAGATTGGCACTGAACTCCCCATAACGACAGCCCGGTTTCTTTCTGAGTTGGTCCAGCTCATTAACAACCCAGTGACGTTGTTTCTCCCAATGGGGAGCACCTTAAATGCCTGTCAGTGAATGTCACCTGACGTGGTGTTGCCCATTCACTCAACTTGGTCACATCTCTCTGAAGTTCCTCACCATCGTCCCTACCCCTGCTTGCCCTAAATAATGTGCCAGCTGCACACTAGGCCACCTGCCTTCTGCTCCCTGCCTGCAGCCTATGGCTTGGCTGGGCCCTGTCTGAGGAGACACAGCTGCTCAGCCAGGCCCTGCAGGGGGTATGTGTGTGTGTAAAACTCACAGCAGTTTGGGGCCTTCCGCTGACTCACTAGTGAGCCCCTCACCATGGTGTCTAGGCACCTTCTCTGTCCTCAGAGAGCGCTTGGGGCCCAGTGTCCGCCCACCCCGGCCTGAGCCCTTGCTAGCTGCAAGGGTCATGGCAGTTCGTCTCCCCCAGCCCGGGTGGCAAGTCCCCATGTCAGCGTCCCTCTTGTCAGCTCTCCCTGAACCCCCCCTTCCTGGGGGTTTCAAATTCCCCACAGCAAACAGTCCCCCCCACCCAAGATTTCTCCTGTTCAGCCCAGTACTCACTGCCCAGGTACGCGCAGTTAAAGTAGCTGCAGGTCCGGTTTGTGCTCCGGAGGACGTAGCTGTTAATTTTACTCCCTTTTTCTGGAACCACGCTGAACATCTCATGGACTGGGATTAACACTTCTTCCTCCTCCGGACTGTGTGAGAAGGCCCTGATGTCAACGCCGAAGCACGTGTGGATGGTGAAAAATGTGTCTGTGCCAAATCCTTCAGCCCGTTGTTTCTGAATTGATGAAGAGGCAAATTGTCCGAACCTAATGGGGCTCGATCCTTTGTGCTGAAATCTAATGTCTGTAACCCCCCGGTACACCGCCATTTTGTACGTCTCATCGCACTTCCCTCGTAAGAGCTGTAAGGCTCTTGTCAAATAATAATGAAAGGCTTTGAAATGAAAACTCGTCATGTAGTTATCTCGAGATGTCCCAGTACTTTTTACTGCATCATTAAAGACACGGTAAAAGGCATTGTCAGTATAGGCTACTATGGCTCTTCCATGCTCATCCTTAAAGCCCGTGGGGAGAGGAAGCTTTGTTTTTACTTCTTGCCATTTTTCTTCTGAGGTTTCCCACACCATGCTAAACCGCGAGGACATGGACTTTTCTTTCTCTAACAGTCCAGGCACAACTCCATCCATTTTATTGGCACAGCCTATATATTGGTCATCAACAGCATCAGGCACCAGGTTCAGCTCTACCTGGCCTCTGACCTGGGAAAATAAAGGAAATATACGGTCATATTAGCATTAGTGTTACAAAAGTATCAAGGGAGCTTATCTCTAAAGAAAGAAGTCAGATGAAAGTGGGAGAAGGGGATGTGAAACTGAAGCAGAGTCCTCGGTTCATTGTTTGGCACATGTCATGTTGGTTCCACAATTTTTGGGGTGTGTATGATGGATTTATAGCTTCCCTGTAATAACCAATCGGTGCTGTCTGTAACCTTGGTAACTGAGGTGTTAATTGAACATCTGACTTGGTTTAATAGCATCTGTTGGGAAAAACAAGCCGAGCTGGAGAGAAGGGCTTGGGAGAAGCCGCTTCTCAGCAAACACCGCAGAGCTGTTAGGGGACACTGGCAGGACTAGTAACTTGGGAGATTTTGGTTCCTAGAACTCACCTGCAGAGCTGCTCTGAGCCAGGCAGGAAGAGAGCTGGGAGGGCAGGTGATCAGAAGATCTGTGGCAAGTTGAACAAGGAAAACTCTCTAAAGAAGGGGGAGGAAGCTGTTTCAGGGGAGCCAGGCTCAGACATTGGGGTGCAGGAAGCCTACCTAGATTAGCCCCATGGATGGCAGACCATTAGGTCAGATTGATGTGAGTCTGAACTGGGGCCTGTTTAAAAATCCTTTTTCTCTAAACAATTTGCTTCTACAGTAAAGAAGACTGGTGTCAGCAGGTGATTGGGTACAATGCACCCCTGGACACCGGCTTCTGAATGGGCGAACCGCAGGGGCCTGAACTCAGCTGGCGCTGCTGGGTGAGCATGAGGGACACACCAGTGAGTGGTTTCTGCAGCCCAGGGCCTGTCTGAGTCTGGGAGACTCACAGGATTCCTGCTCAGGAGCAGTAAAGGCACAGGGCCTGACTCCCGAAGCGATGCACTCAGAGACCAGCGAGCCCTGTCAGAGGAATTTCTAGTTTACTGGGGACTTCGTTAGAGTAGTGGCTGCCATGTTTGCAGGTAAGAGTGGGGAGGGTGTAGGAAGAAAGGCAGGAAGGGACACATTAAGAGGGATGATGCAGTAGGGGGAACAAGGGCCATAGAAGGGAGGGAGCCAGGAGGGACTCAGATCCCAATCCAACTCCCACTGGAATATCTAGAAACACCCCCAACCTCCATTTACCTCAGTGAGAGGCCATCTCCATATGCTGTCCATGCACTGCATTGCGCATGACCTCACAAAGATTGTCCATGTGAGTTTACATGAAACGGAGGACGCCATTTTGCAGGCAAGTGTAGAATTGCACTTCTCAGCTGCCACTGGTGGGAGTAGGATCAAGGACGTGGGAAAAGGTAGGTCAGAGGGAGGGAGGAATGGAGACCAATCCAGAAAGCAGGGACGTGAGGCTGGGAGAGAAGGAAAGAGCCAGCAGTGGCTGGCGCATACAGACAATCAGAAAGGGCAAAGACTGCCCAGCAGGGTACAAGCACATGTGCAGGACGTGTCACATCACAGGCAAGCGTGAGAGAGTGCGTGTGGAGAATGGGGATTACTGTGTGAGATAGAGCCCAGTTCAGCAGCATATTTAATCCTGTGCCTAACTTGAAATAGGGGATTACCGCTCACTGGCGTTTGTGGGACTCCTCACATGCATACCGTTAAGCCCATGCTTGCGTGCTTTGCTGGATTGGGGCCAAAATATTTTCATGAAGTATCATTAACAGAGATCTTGTTAAAGGAAGAACTCAGGGTGATGCTTCCTTGCCAGCAAAACACAGCTGCTCACTGTTACCCTATTTGAATCCTTCTACCATCTAGTTTCTCCTGCTGCCTGTCACACTGGACACCAGAGGCAGGACAACTCTGAGGTAAACAGTGCACACGGCCCCATCAGGGAGCGCACACGGCCCCAAGAGGCCCAGAGACTCAGAAGCTGCATGTGGCTGATCCTTAAAGGAGAGAGGGACAGAGACACAGTTGGTTGACCATCAAGTGGAGCGTCCCAGAATGCCCTCTGCTCGGATCGCCTGGCCAGGGGACCAGCTCAGGCGTCAACTTGGGAAGATCAAACAACATGACCTGCCTTCTGCTTGCCTTATCATCCTGCCTGGGACTGTCAGTGTGGTTGAGTGTATGAGTGAGATTTCCCCTCCCTTCCCAGTTTTAACTGAATAAACACACCCTTTACACTCCTGTGTGGTGATCCCCTCTCCTGTGGGGAGACAGACAGGGAACAGGCTGTGGAAGGAAGACGTCCAAGGAGTCTGATGGAACAGAGCTTGGCTGCTGGTTATGGGGTTCATAGACGGGAGCCCAGTCCAGGGAGAGGCCTGCGTTCCCTGACTAGGCAGTAGGGAAGGTGGTGTGGGGCTCTGATTAGAATGTAACCCTTCTGCAGGGTAGGCCTGGAAGTAGGCCTGGTCTTGACTCATGGGGACCTGCCCAGTCCTACATGCCTATGAGCCCTACATGCCTATGAGCCCAAGACAGCCTTGAGCAGAAACAAAATGAAATACAGAGACGTTCACAGGCAAACTTACCGGAGGGATTTCCAGCCAGGTTTGCAGCCAGAAGTACATCAAGGGGATCAGCGGAGACTTCATGGTGGTTCCAACTCCCCCCGTGCAGCTGTGGGAGAATCCACCAGGAAATTCAGTGGAGGTTTGGGGGGAAAGAACATCGCAAAACTCAACATCATCCTGCTTGTGTCCCTGTGATCCACTGAGCCACGCTCAGGAACTGGGGTTTCCCAGGGAGGAGTTGCTCTCACGGATTGCAGCCATCCCACGGTATGGGTCTAAAGTAGCATTCCCCTGCTGCGGGATGCTGTCCTTCACTAGCTGCTAGGTTGGTGTCTCAGGGAGCCAGGCATCGCTATTTGGTGGGCTGCACTTTCCTGGCTTTGCCAGATGAAAGTTTTAGACCCCAAAGTAGATCTCTATCATGAGCCAAAGCACAGCCCAACCTGCTGCCTGGGGTGAAGGCAACACAAGGGCCTGCAGTGAAGTTAATGAAGAGTAAGACTAGAAAGAGGTTACTATACCTGCCTTCCCGAGTGGCTGTGGTGCCCTGGCAGGCTGCTGACCCAAGCAAGCAATGTCTGCAAATAGAATAACTGCAATTACTTACAGCTGCAAACATTTACACCACAGGAGACAGACACCCCCCCCCCTTCTCCCCCCCTCCCATTCCTCCGTTCGTAGTTAAGAAACTTTCCTGTTCTCTTTAGTAATTCATTTTCTTTAGCAATAAGGGCTTGGTCTAAATCCCACTGAAGCTGATGGAAAGACCGCACTGATTTCAATGGGCTTTGGATCAGGCCCATACAGAGTCAAAAAGTTAATATGACTCAGTATTTCCAGTGTTTCCTATTGCCAAATGTAGCCACAAAACTGCCCCCGTTTTATGCTGCAAACCTTGTGGGAGAATGTAACACCCCCCCTCCCCAACCCAGAAGTAAAGCCAAGTCAAAACTCTGTTATAGTTACTTAGAACCCAAGAGAAACAACATTTACAAAAAGTTTTAACACTTGGATTAGAAAGTTGGATTTGGCTGGTTTGGGGGTAAAAATGGAAATGAATTCGAATTCCAATGAGTCCAGAGAGAACAGTGGAGTCTGCCCGGGCAGTGAACTAGATTCTCTTTCTATCACTGCCTGTCAGACCAGAACGGCGGGTCAAACACCAGGGCTGATCCCATAAGGGTCCCAGCTACACAGAACAGATCTCTGTCACCTGGCAGGGTGAGGGGCCAAACCCCAGCCCTGCAGCTCACATGGACACAAACAGCAAACAAACAAACCCCAAGTCCCTTTACCCCCATGCACCAGACCCACCCAAAACACCCCGTTGCCTCTGTTGTTCTCCTGCTGAGCTGATTCCTTGGTTAGAGGGTCTGCGGGGGAGTTGGGTCTGTGGGGGCAGATGTTTCTGGCCAGGGAAAGGGAGCCTGACATTAGAATGTGGATCCCAGGGAAAAGTCAGTGATATGGGAACTAGGAGGTGGCAGTGTCTTGCCAGGAGCAGACAGCAATAGGCGGGGATGATGGGGGGGTATGTGACATAGTGGGGGGGCTGTCTGCTCTGTAACCTGGGGTTCCCCTGCGCTGTGATGTGCGATTCCCACTGACTCACCCACATGTGGATTGGCCCAGACACCTAGTCCCAGCCTGGGCAGCTAGCAAAGCTCTTCCCAGGGGAGAGACAAAGGGAGGGAGACGGAGACGAACACCTGGCTGGGGGCAGGGTCTGGAAGGGAGGCAGTTTCTGGCTGGAAACATGAAGGAAACAGACTAAACTGAGTGCTAAAGGGGCGATGGACCCCTAACCCAAGGGGTCCGAGGCATCCTGGCCCTGAGTCCTATAAGCACATCACATCTGTGCTGTGCTGTATTCTGGAGGAGCAATAAACCCCGTCTATTCTACTGGCTGGCTGAGTCTGTTCTTGCTGCTATGGGTGTGCAGGATTGGGGGAGGGGTGTCCCTGACACGCCGTCACTGGGTGTTATTGGAAAGGGTGGGACTTCCACTGGGGTGAGGGGCTGCAGATCCGTTCCTGGTGCTGTGGGGAGAAGGCGGGGAATGTGCACACAGAGCAAGTGGGTCTGGAATGCAGCTGAGAACGCAGCCTGCGTGTCTGCAAGGGGAAGACTGCAGGGGGTCCCAGAGGCCTGGTGTGCGGGGGGAGGACACTAGAGGTCCAGCGTGCGGGGGGGCAGAGGTCTAGGCTAGCTGGGGGGGTGTGCCCAGAGGCCTAGGATCCCCTCCCCAGTGTCGGGGGGGAGGGGCAAGAGGCCAGAGCTGGTGCGGCCTTGCCCTCCCCTCCCCAGTGGCTAGGGGGAGAGACTCACCCAGCCAGCCAATTGACTCTGTTAAGCAACAGACATCAGGATTTGAACCCACAGGGCAAGCAGGAAGGAAATTACTTCATTTTGCAAAAGGAAAGACACAGATTAACCCTGAAAAACCAGAACTCCAGTGGCATTAACCCAAAGACATGGAATGTAAAAAAAAAAAAAAAAAAGATTGATGTCGGTGTGCAGTGGATTTGTTCTTATTGCTGATGTTAGCTTTTGTAAGTGATATGCTGCTGATGCGAAAAACTATGAAGACACACAATGTGCCTTCATTTTGGAAGCCATGTTAAGAGGGGTACCTAAGGACACATTGTATATTCAAAGACCTTGTAATACTGATATTCCACAGTTAGTGCCTCTAAACAAGTCTTAGAACTTTTTACATGAGAAAGGATCATCCAGAAATGCTTAATGACTTCTTTGTTTCGGTCTTCACCAAGAAGTCTGATGAAGGAATGCCTGACATAGTGAATGCTAGTGGAAATGGGGTAGGTTAAGAAGATTAAAAAAAAAATATTTAGAAAAGTTAGATGCCTGCAAGTCACCAGGGCCTGATTAAATGTATCCTAGAATACTCGAGCTGATAGAGGAGGTATCTGAGCCTCTAGCTATCATCTTTGAAAAATCGTGCAAGACAGGCGAGATTCCAGAAGACTGGAAAAGGGCAAATATAGTGCCCATCTATGAAAAGGGAAATAAGAACAATCCAAGAAACTACAGACCAGTCAGTTTAACTTCTGTGCCAGATACTGGAGCAATTAATTAAGGAATTCATCTGCAAAAACCTGGAAGATAATAAGGTGATAGGTAACAGCCAGCATGGATTTGTAAAGAACAAATCATGTCAAACCAATCAGATAGCTTTCTTTGATAGGATAATGAGTCTTGTGGATAAGGGAGAAGCGGTGGACGTGGTATACCTAGACTTTAGTAAGGCATTTGATACGGTGTCACATGATATTCTTATCAATAAACTTGGCAAATATAACTTAGATGGGGCTATTATAAGGTGGGTGAATAACTGGCTGGATAACTTCTCAGAGAGAGGTTATTAAGAGTTCACAACCCTACTGGAAGGGCATAACAAGTGGTGTTCTACAACTGGTGTTTTGGGACTGGTTCTGTTCAATATCAATATCAACAATTTAGATAATGGCATAGAGAATATGCTTATTAAGTTTGCAGATGATATGAAGCTGGGAGGGGTCGCAAGTGCTTTGGAGGGCTGGGTCCTAATTCAAAATTATCTGGACAAACTGGAGAAACAATCTGAGGTAAATAAGATGAAGTTTATTAAGGACAAATGCAAAGTGCTCCACTTGGGAAGGAAGAATCAGTTTCACACATACAGAATGGGAAACTACTGTCTAGAAAGAACTGCAGAAAGGAATCTAAGGGTCATAGTGTGACGCTGTTGCAAAAAAAAGCAAACATGATTCTGGGATGCATTAAACAGGAGTGTTGTGAGCAAGACATGAGAAGTCATTCTTCCGCTCTACTCTGCATTGATTAGGCCTCAAGTAGAGTATTGTGTCCAGTTCTGGGCACCACATTTCACAAAAGCAGTGGAGAAATTGGAGAAAGTCCAGAGAAGAGCAACAAGAATGATTAAAGGTCTAGCGAACGTGACTGATGAAGGGAGACTAAAAGAATTGGGCTTATTTACTTTGGAAAGGAGAAGACTGAGAGGGGACATGATAGCAGTTTTCAGGTACAGTAATTCCTCATTTAACACGATAGATACATTTCAGAAAATGATTGTGCTAAGTGAAAACAAGTTATGTGGGGTGAATTTTCCCATTGAAAATAATGGAAAAGGTGGGGGTTGCATTTCAAGCGCACTTGTGCTCAGGGCTCCAGCCTGCACTTGCTAGCAGCCAGCCACTGAGCACAGACAGCTGCCTGGGGATTGGGACATAAGGTTGGGGGGAGAAAGGGGACTGGGTTACAGCAGGAAGGGGAGGTGTTTGGCTCTGGGGAAAGGAAGGGGAGGAGAGGGGAGGGAGATTGGGTTGGGAGTATGCCCCTGTGATGGGTCTGCCAGGACCCACACTGCGTCCGACGAGGTGGGATTGGTGGGGAATGGTGCGACGAGCAGCAAACTCTCTGCCACTTTGCAGGGAGGCGGGGGAAACCCCAAACAGCCGCTGGCAACAGGCTGGCTGGGGAAATGGCCCATTGAAAATAATGGAAAAGGTGGGGGTTGCATTTCAAGCGCACTTGTGCTCAGGGCTCCAGCCTGCACTTGCTAGCAGCCAGCCACTGAGCACAGACAGCTGCCTGGGGATTGGGACATAAGGTTGGGGGGAGAAAGGGGACTGGGTTACAGCAGGAGGGGAAGTGTTTGGCTCTGGGGGACGGTAGAGGAGAGGGATTGGGTTGGTAGTATGCCCCCTTATAGTACCTCCCGGTACTCCAGAATATCTGATAATCCAGTACCACCTAGGTCCCAAAGGTGCCGGATTATCAGGATTCTACTGTAACTATTTTGAAATAAGTGTTATTCCTCATGGAAAGCAGGAGTTATTAGAGACGGTCATGTAATTCAAAACATGTTCCCTAAAAAAAAAAAGTCATGCTATCGTGAAAACGTGTTAAGCGGGCATGTATTAAATGAGGAATTACTGTATCTAAAAGGGGCTAGGGGACTGGACTCGATGACATCTTGAGATCTCTTCCAGCTCTAGTGTTCTATGATTCTATGAAATAACGTGCTGTATGGAAAAAGGAAACTGAGGTACGCAACCATATTGCCTCCTGGCTAAATGCCAAGATTCCTACACTATGGAGAGCATAAATATCTACGTTAACTGGTTGTTTATTGGATTCCAAACATTTGCCAGAGCCTGTATGGCTAAATAAACTATTTTCTTTAGTTCTTGGCAACATCACATAGGACATATGGGAACCATGCTGCAAAAGCAGATCCAGTCCAGAAACCCTGTTATATTACAGGTCCCATTAGGTACTGCAAGAGCAACCCAAAATTCAACTTGGCTATATGCACTGGGGGACAGCTACCCACATTGCAGTGCTCCATGTAGTAAAGCAATCTCTGCTAGTGAGGATGCATTGTGTCAATTCAATGAGCATAGTGTGGACACACAAAATCAACTTGATTAAATTGAAGGCTTGAGGTCTTAACAACATACATTTGTAGTGTTGACATGGTCTCAGTGCAAACAGACCCAGGTTTTAGCAGAACTAGCTTGCAGAACTGAGACATCTCTGTGCTAAGGGTGAGATGTTTGTTCTAGGGGAAGGGGAATAAAGGACAGAGAGTAGCTGGGAACAGATGTCCCCGGGCCCTCAGCGATGTGGAGAATCCAGCTTCGGGCACCTTGAAAGGAAAGGGGCCTTGAGCAGCAAGGGCGGGGCTTAGGGCTGCTGGGTGTCCGGTTCTGAATTGGACACTCCAGTATTTGAGCTTTCTGTTTGGGAAACAAATTGAGAAAATAGAAATGTATTTTCTAACTAATACGTGATGTCGATTGTGATGTAATGTCAAGTGTGTCTGGTATTTTTGTTGAAACCATGTGGCAACCCTATAGGGCTAAGGACAGCACACACTGGGGATGGTGATTTAAAAGGCATGGGACTTCAGCTGTAGTCAGTGCTGCTGTGGTGGCGACAGCAGCCAGGAGCCACAGACACTTTTAAATTGACAGGCCACCAGGGCAATTGCCCCTTTTGCTCCCTTCCTCCCCACATTGGCAGTCCTGGCCCAGTAGTAACAGGAGATGATCGTGCGATGGGAGAATACCTCAGGAGAACTGGAAACTGCTGAAAAGTTTCTACATCTCAGCCACAAATGACAGGCCTAGTGCACCACAATGCGCAGGAAGGGAAGGGAGAAACCAAAGAGCTGTGCAATTTGTTTAAGCTGCTCTCCTGATTAACCAGTTCTTCTGAGCCCTGAGGTACAGGAAGTTTCTGTTCTATGGACAGTTGGGCCAACACAGGAGTGACTCTCGTAACACATTTCCGCAGTATTTCCACATTTGGCCAGTCACACAGGTTGTATGAACCTAGACTGTGTCCTTTCAGAAGGCAGACAGACAGGCAGGGTTCAGCTGTGGGGCACCAAGAGGCATTTGGCATAAAATCATTGCTATAGGAGATAGAACCATGCGATGACCTTCCATCTAGTCCATCCCCAGGGCACTATGCAGAATTGTTTCCTAAACTATTTTTATTTTGTTTCCTCTGTTTGCAGTGCTCTTTGCATCCATTGTCAAATGGCCCCAGAGACGTGGTCTCCACCCATTTCCTTAGGAACTTGGCCATAGACTGCTAGGTTTAAACAAATATATGGGATGATCCAAGTGATAGGCTTCTGCTTTATTTTGGGGAGGGAAGATTCTTTGGTGTTGCCTCCTTTTATAGCATGAATCCAGGTCCTGTCGAGGCTGGAGCTGGGGGACTCGGTCCCGCCTGAGGTCTCTTCCAACCCTGTGAGTCTATGACTCATGCGTTGGCTTTGCCTAGACTAGCGTTGTTGGTCCTGTTATAATCTGAGCTCATTGATGGTAAATGCAAATTGTGCTGGTATCGGAGGCTCTCCGCCGGGGTCTGTTCTAGAGCCTCGAGGGCTGTGATTTGCCTCAGCTGACCCACCATGTTCAAATATTTTGCAAATGTTCACCTCTAGATTAGCCTATACAAGCCCTGAACAGGTAACTGGCAGAGGGAGTCCTGCCCCTCCCCCTCCTTCCCGACCCTGTTGCTCATCCCCTAACCCTGGCTGGGGCAGTGAAGCAGCTCCCGGAGGCGCAGGTCTGGGTCGGCCTCTGTAGCCGCAGCCCCAGGAGGGGATGGGGACGCCCAAGGACGACTAATCCCAGCAGGGGTTGCGGCGCCGTTGCTGCTGAGTGCTAAGCATGGGCTGTTTTTCCTACGGGTGCTCCAGGGCTGGATCTCCCAAGTAGTCAGCACCGATGAGCTGAGTAATCACACTATGGGCCGTTCACTCTGGTCCTGATTGATCTGGGGGAGGGGAGCACGCAAAGTCCCCTGCCAGGGGCACGTGGTGCCCAGAGGGAGCTGCCGCTGTTCAAAACACACAGGGAAAGGGACCAGCTCCTCCCGGCTCATCTTCCCCTAGCCTGCTCTCGCAGCACCCTCCTCCCCCCGCCCCCCGGCAATGCCCTGGCTGGCCTGCTGCTCCCAGCGCATCATCGGCTCCTGAGCTAGGTGTGGCCTCTGGCTGGCGTGGTGTGCCCGCCCTGCACCACTGGGGCTGGGGCCGTCTCACTTAGCAGAGGCTGGCACGCTGGTTACATGCATGCTCTGGCTAAAAAGACAAGGGTTGTCTTTAATACAGACTCAGGGACTCTTAGGGCATGCCTATACTACATGGCTCCATCAACGGAGACATGTAGATTAGGGTGGTCAGCATAGGAAAATGAAGCCACGATGTAAATAATCATGGCTTCATTTAAATTTAAATGGCTGCTGCACTGTGCCGACCAGCTAATGATCAGGTGTTTGTCGGCACAGCACGATAGTCTAGATGCTCCCCCGTCAACATCAAAACCCTTTGTCGACCTTCCTGGTAAACCTCATCCCACGAGGCATAACGGGCTTTCTTGCACAAGAAATTAATGTTGCTGTCCACACTGGCCTCTTGTGCAAGAATACTTGCACAAGAGGACTTATCCCTGAGAGGGAGCATCAGAGTATTTGCGCAAGAAGCACTGATTTTGTACAGTACAACATCAGTGTTCTTGTGCAAATACTCGCGGCCAGTGTAGACAGGTGGCAAGATTTTGCGCAAAAGCAGCTGTTTTTGCGCAAAATCTTGCCAATGTAGACACAGCCATCATATATACATACTACAGGTTGTACCTCCCTTAACTGGGACTCTCTGGTCTTTCAACATCCATGATCCGGCATGGACCACAGATGTTCTTGGACCACAGAGCCCAGGAACAGGAAAGTCTGGTGGCAGCGGGAAGAAGGGGCAGCACAGCAGGGAGTTTTGGCCCCAGCGGCTGGGGGGCTCCAGCCTGGCTACAACCATGGAGCTCTAGCTGTGGCTGGGGAGCTCTGACCCTGATTGCAGAGCTCCAGCCCCAGCAGCTGCTAGAGAGCTCCGGGGTGGCTGGAGAAGCAGCAAGGGTAAGCTGGAGGCCTCGGTGGTCCAAGCTGCATGAGGAACGCTGGGCCCAAATGGCTGCTTGCTCCCCCGTGGTGGCCCGGCTGAGCGGCGCAGAAGTCAGCCGAGTGCCACGGCGGAAAGGGAAAGGGGGCGGGTCAGTGACATACATGCCCAGGGGGTGGGGCCTGGCCATGTACGTCACCACCCCTTCGCTTCCTGCCGTGGCGCTTGGCTGACTTCTGTGCCGCTCAGCCAGGCCGCCGCAGGGGAGCAAGTGGCGCAAGCAGTCGTTTGGGCTCCGCGCTCCCCATGCAGCACGTTTGGGCTCCACAGTCCCCTGAGTGAGAGGCAGGAGGGGGAGGAAAAGAGAAAGAGAGAGACAGAGAGAGGCAGGAGGCGAAGGAGAGCTGAGAGAGAGGGGGGGAGAGGCAGTAGGAGAAGGAAAGAAAGAGAGAGAGAGAGAGAGAGAGACGGAGCGAGAGAACGGAGGCTCAGGAGAGAAGACTGATGTGGAGGAGAGATCTGAAAATCCCGTCTTATGATGGGCTAATTGGCTAGTATACTATAGACATACCCTCAGACACACAAAGTCTGTGTTTCACACTCAAAGTGGCTCCCACTCTCACACGCTCTTTATCTCTCTCTGTAGCCCCAGCTCCGCCCCTTGCATCTTCAGCCTCTCCCTTTTATGGCCCCGGACAGTGGACCACGACTATGTACTGAAATTTGTGAAGTGGCCCCCCTGCAAAAATTATTGCCCACCCCTATGCTAGCGGGACACAATAATGGCTGCTATAGAGGCAACCCTACGAGGCAACGCTTCCCCTCTCACAAGCAGAATCTGAGTGTAGCAAAGAAACTTTTAATAAAAGGAGGGAAGCGACTCTGCATTGAGGTGGGAAACCATGACAAACAGGGTTCATAAACATACACTCACCCCCAAGTAAGTAGGGAACAGAAAGTTCAACTACTAAAAGTCTAACATCTTCTGGGAGAGTCTGTTGGGTGGCTCCGGGCTCGGCTCATATCAGAGACCACCTCTGATCTTATCTTTGAGGTGGGAGTATAATCCACATGTATGAAAACAACACATTTGCCGTGGGCAGATCAAGACACTTTTGCTGAAGTCACAAAAAGCTGGTACAAAAGTGCAAACTTGACTGGAATATAAGCAATGATTTATACAACAAGCACCTGTTTATAGCTCTAACTATTTGCTATAGATCCATAAGCTTTCATTGTGATCTACTAATGCGGCGCGTCTAATCAAAGCTGCCCAAGCAGGTACCAGCGACACTCCATCGGTTTCCATTTCAAACACTGGCAGGAGAGCAGAGCGGCTTTGGCTCTGGCAAGCCCCATCCCTGTGATTTGTGTTAGAGAGAGAAAAAATGAGCAACAGAAAGAGGAAAATTTAGACACCGGCCATCAGCTTCAGAGCAGCAGCGTGGATCAGGATGACGGATCCTCCAAATAGTGAAAGGCTCGTCCTACTGGGGAAGGCGACGCCTCCTCTGGTAGCTTGTTAATAAGAAAAAGCGGATCAGACAATGGATAGGAAATAATTCCAACAAGACAGAGATCCTACAGCTGGAAACAGCTCGTGAAACTTGTTTATGCCAAAGGGTTAATGCTAATCCATTTCCCCTCCACAGCACACCCCAGCCTGGGATTTACCAGGGACATTCTCCTCACTGGTGATATATTCCCCCTGTTTCCTCCCTCCGCAGCCTGCTTGTTCCCTTGCAAGAATCATTGGTGACACATTTCATCCATGCCAGTCCCAGAGACTCTGGTTAGAGTTTCTTATCTACCATGTAAGTGTATTCCCGTCATGAGAAGACACAAGTGTGTAGATCACTGACTGCAGATCTTAGGAGTATTATTTCTGATGGGATTTTATTGGGTTTGGGGGAACACATAGAGCTGGGCAGGGAGGGGCTGTTCCTTTTTGTGGGCGATTCTGACATTGCAACATTCCGTTTTGTCCCTATTTTAAAGGAAAATCAACAATTTTGGAATTTTTCGCACATGGCCCTAGGGCAGTCCACCACGCAGACTGTCCCAGAGTCAGGGGCATGGGAAATCTTGGAGTGCATGACTCCTAAGCATTCCTATTGTAAAATTCCAAAGATAAAATGTTTCATCAGGATTTTTCCGACCTGTTCTGGTAAAGTAGCTCTTTGGTCTTCTGAGCAGAGAGATGTACTTCCACTGGGGACAGAACGGGCCTCGTTATGAAAGGAAGGAAGATTGTTGGCTTAAGGGATATTTGTTCAGCTTATAGTTCAGAATTCTGAAGATGAATCTTTTAGTGCTCAAAGGGGTCCATTCTCCCTACAGAGTCATTCTCCCTATATTTTCTTTTCTGAAATCAACAGCACATAGAGTCTCCTGAAATCTGAGGATGCTCAGAGACTAATCATGGATGTATGAGAAATTGGATAAATGGAACATATAGTTAAACCCATTTATTTCTCAACTGGTTTCATATGACATGTTTGCCCATTGGGGTTTCTCTTGGCTTGTACTTCAATACAGAGAGCAAGGTATTGGCAAAACAATATAAAGAAAAAGTTTTTTTCTTACCAGAGTTATAAACACACATTTGGTCCTTGTTTCCTATGGTACAAACAGAGGTTCAATGAAATGTGATCGGCCCAGGTAAAATTTTCAACTCTATTCTACTTTTTCCAAAGAAACATGTTAATTTTCAGACTGGGTCCTACCAACAGACTGCATCTAGCCAGGAATCTTGCTTGTCCATGACTGATTTCAGGCCTAACAGCATTGTGGGAAGAAAAAAAGAAATCCCCGAGTGGACAATTGTGGAATTACTGACACACAGAAAAAGTTTCTTTCCCAACACAGGCAGTTAGTAATTGCTATATGTCCTCAGGTCTAAGGATTATAGTCACTTTAAAAACAATTGTTTTATCCTGTGTAACATAACTCTGGAGATTCTGTCTGTTAGTGAAAACACTAATTCTTTTTTTTTATTCTGTTGTACTCTTCAACTTATGGAAATCATGTGGCAATGAGTTCCACATGTTTACCCTTCATTATCCAACCAGATATTCCCTTTTACTTCAGCTTATTCTGGTTTTATGAGAAAGTGAAACTGGTACTCTGATTTGCCACTGTCTCATTTATTATTTTTTGTTTTTCCATCATGTATCTCTTATGGGTGTCCCTTCTTCTAATTAAACCATTTCAGGCTCACCTCTAGAAGTATCTCCACACGTCTCATCATTTTCAACATTTTTAGAGCTAGTGTGATCAGATGCTAATCTAATATCCCAGGAAACGCTGCCCCAGGAAAGGCTTCCCTTCAGATTCCTATAATGGTGCTGTAATATTTTCACATAATTCTCCATCCTATGGCTTCTTAGGCCGGCTAACATTTTGTTTGTTTAGAGACCTAGCAGCATGCTGTGCAGAGATTTTCACTAAGATTGGCACTGAACTCCCCACAATGATAGCCGGTCTCCTTCTGAGTTGGCCCCGCTCATTAACAAGCCAGTGACGTTGTTTCTCCCAATGGGGAGCACCTTAAATGCCTGTCAGTGACTTTCACCTGACGTGGTGTTGCCCATTCACCCAGCTTGGTCACATCTCTCTGAAGTTCCTCACCATCGTCCCTGGCCCTGACTGTCCTAAATAACGTGACAGCTGCACACTAGGCCTGCTCCCTGCCTCCAGCCTATGGCTTGGCTGGGCCCTGTCTGAGAAGACACAGCCGCTCTGCCAGGCCCTGCAGGGGGCGTGTGTGTGTGTAAAACTCATAGCGGGTTGGGACCTTCCCCGTTTCTAGTGAGCCCCTCGTCATGGTGTCTAGGCACCTTCTCTTTCCTCAGGGAACACTTGGGGCCCAGTATCTGCCCACCCCAGCCTGAGCCCTTGCTAGCTGCAAAGTTTATGGCAGCCTGTCACCCCCCCAGCCCTGGTGGCAAGTCCCCTTGTCAGTGTCCTTTTCATCAGCTCTCCCAGTCCCCCCCCAGGTGTTTCAAATTCCCCCAGCAAACATCCCCCCATCACATTTCTCCCGTTCAGTACAGTACTCACTGTCCAGATACGCGCAGTTAAAGTGGCTGCAGGTCTGGTTTGTGCTCCGGAGGACATAGCTGTTAGTTGTACTCCCTTCTTCTTGAAACACTCTGAATATCTCATGGACTGGGATTAACACTTCTTCCTCCTCCTGAAAGTTTGAGAAGTTCCTGATGTCAACGCCGAAGCACGTGTAGATGGTGAAAAATGTGTCTGTGCCAAATATCTTAGCCACTTCTTTATTAACTGAGGAAGAGGTAAATTGTCCAAACCTAATGGGGTCTGATCCTGTGTGCTGAAATCTAATGCCTTTAACCCCCCGGTACACCGCCATTTTGTACCTCTCGTCACACTTCCCTCGTAAGAGCTGTAAGGCTCTTGTCAAATAATAATGAAAGGCTTTGAACTGAAAATGCTCCATGTAGTTATCTCGAGATGTCCCAGTACTTTTTACTGCATGATTAAACTCCTCGTGAAAGTCATTGTCAGTATAGGCTACTATGGCTCTTCCATGCTCATCCTTAAAGCCCGTGGGGAGAGGAAGCTTTGTTTTTACTTCTTGCCATTTTTTTTCTGAGGTTTCCCACACCATTCTCAACCGCGAGGACATGGGCTTTTCTTTCTCTAATAGTCCAGGCACAATTTCATCCATTTTATTGGCACATCCTATATATTGGTCATCAAAAGCAGCAAGCACCATGTCCAGCTCCACTTGGCCTTTTGCCTGGGAAAATAAAGGAACATTATTAACACATTATTAACACATTAACTTTGTGTTACAATAGCATCAAGGGATCTTATCTCTAAAGAGGAGGACGCCATTTTGCAGGCAAGTGTAGAATTGCACCTCTGATCTGCCACTGGTAGGAGTTGGATCAAGAGAAGGATGTGGGAGAAGGTAGGTCAGAGGGAGGTAGGAATGGAGACCAATCCAGAAAGCAGGGACGTGAGGCTGGGAGAGAAGGAAAGAGCCAGTGGTGGCTGGCGCACACAGCCAATCAGAAAGGGCAAAGACTGCCCCGCAGGGTACAAGCACATGTGCAGTATGTGTCACATGACAGGCATGTCTGAGAGAGTGCGTGTGGAGAATGGAGGCTACTGTGTGAGATAAAGCCCAGTACAGCAGCATATTTAATCCTGTGCCTAACTTGAAATAGGGAC